CATCAAAGACTTTTCTTGAGTTCTTAACCTTAATCTCAACCCAACAAGATCCTTTCTCCACAATGCTGTTGGCTAATCAGTTAATATATTGCTTTTCAAACTTTGCAATACTAAAATGATACATTAATTTGTGTTAACAATACATTATTGATAATAATAATACATTATTGATAATAATAGATCACTTTTAATGATTAAATGTTAATCAGTATTATCATAAGAAACTGCAGGACAGCAACTACCTACTATAATGTGCTTAAGCAAAATGAGGACCAAGGACCAAACCCAGTTTGATATTTTAAAAAATTGTAACATAAACTCCATCTGCAATGTCGGTCACTATTCTCTCAGGGTCTGGATCTCCAATTTGAAAACCTTGGATTAATAATAACCATGGTGTGCAAGTTAAAATTTGGTGCTTTATTCAATGGATAGAATACAAGCTATTGACATAGCACTCTTTGTATTGCACAATTTTATTTACCTATTTACCAATGTTTATTTACTTGACAAAAAAAATTATAACAGCTTGACTTCTATTTTATTTCTATTTTACTTGTTTGCCACATGTACATTAACATTTTACTGCAGCTGCCTTGGAAATTTTTAATCAAAACATATTAGGATTTAGTATATCTCTACTTTTCAAGAATAAAAACTCTGTTTTTCTCTATACTTTTAAAAACTTTGCAGAACTCTTTGTTCTCACTTCTATTTTGCTCGACAGACAGGAGTCTCAAGAACCATTAAAACCTGAGAACAATCAATCAAGAAACTTTTTTCTGCCTTTTATGTCTTTCTCACCTTTGGGTTAACTGTCCTTTTTTCCTCTCCTTGCTTTCTGTGAACAGCTGCTGTTTGGCTTCATATATATTTAGTTCCTGACTTTCTTATTATCTTTTGGGTCTTTTCTCCCCTGCTACAACCCTTGCTTATAATTACAACAGAACCCCAGAAAAAGATGGTTAAATGGTTGGAGGATTTGCATCAGACTTAATTTCTCAGCTACTCATGCCACATCCATGTCTCTCTGCAGGCTGCTACTTCTGGTCTGGGTGGTAATGGTAATGCAGAGTTCTATAAACATACAAATAAAATACATACTTACATATACATACGCATATACACACAAAAGACATGCACATTTGACTTAATAAAACAGACCATGCTTTTTTACAACAGCAGTGAAAACAGAGGGTATGTATCTGATGAGTCACCATAGCCCTTGTTCATTCACAGTGTGCCAAATCGACTGCAAGTGACTCAGATATAGAAGAGCGGGAACACTAGCAATAGCAGTGTTACTTTGGGAAGCAGTTTTACTTTGGGAAATAACCTGCATAAGTAGTGCTGAGTTCTGCCCAAGTTGCCAATCTGTAAGAAATCTCCCTCTCCCTCTCTCTGTATATTGAGGCTTGAAACCTGTGTTTTCTGCTTGAAAAGGCCTTCCGCATGAATCCTAGAAGGGCACTTAATATTTCCATTTATTGCTCATTAATGTTTCAAGGCTGACAACCTATATAGGGATAACATTTCAAGGCTAGTAAGCCTACCAGTCCTCTGATTCAAAATTATCATTATATCAGAGTGACAATAAGTTTTAAATTAAAGCATATTGTGAGATCTTACTTTGGAAAAGCATCTGATTTCTGCTGCCAACATGCTGAGATCCCACCTAGATTAGAAACATATTGACTCCAGATTCAGGTTGTTTCATCTATCCATCATTTGGAGGTTAGATGATAATTCTTTTGCCCAGTGGACTACCGTCATTATTGGCCTATAAGCTCAAACCTATTTTTGAAAACTGACCCTTGATGAATCTTGCCATGATGTTTTTGTTTTATGTCTACCTTAGGCTAGTCTTTTTTCTAAGAAATTCTCTTTGCTGATAGAGGTACATATTTTTTCATTGCAGTTTTGCAATTATGTTTGTGGGTTTAGGAATCCAATGTTTGGATTGTTAGTATTGACCTTAGTATTAATAAGCTAAGAAAAAAGTAATATCCTTAGCAAGCCCTATACCTTGGAAGGAAAATGCCAAACTTTATTTTTAAATGAGTTTTGTCCTACAGAGTTCCTGCAGACAGTCAAGTTTAATTAGTTGGGAATTTCCCTCGCTTCTCTTCAAAGCAACCTTCTCAATGTATAAAGATACAAAGCTCAGTTAAACACATTTTAATTTTTTTCCCCAGATCTTTTCCCCTCAACTGGTTCTCATTGTAGCATAATTTAAAAGTGTCAGCATGTGTGAGTGTTCAAGATGGCAGTCATGACTGTGTGATTGAAATCATGTCGCTTTGTTATGTGTGTCGCACATATGTAAAAAAAGGACAGAGCTTTGATTGCCTGGGAATAGCTGCCATCTAAATTTCCTCCCTCCTCAAGTCCAATCTGTTGATACATCTGGGCTAGGCTACATATTTGCTGAGATAATGAGGTAAGATTTTCAACTGGTGGTGAAGGAGACAGTGCTTGCAAATTGTTTCTTTATAGAAAAAATAATATAAAACTCTGCAAGTAAACACAACCAGAAGAAATGAGCAATAGCTGCCTTGCTGCTTTTGACACATTTTTTTATTTGTAGAGAGTTTTTCATAAATAGGAAGTTTCAAAAATAGAAGCCCTTGCTACCATCTCTGTTTGCAGCATATGTGGCCTAGGCCACCAAGGATTTTATTTTACAAGATTTGTCTGTGATGAATACTTCTTGTGTCATTTTTCCAGACCTTTGAATCAAGGCCCAAATATGTGTAAAATGGTAACATTGAAACCCAATAATTTGTGTGTCTGCACAGTTTCTTAAACAAACCTCCAAATGTTGGTTAGATAAATATCCCTGAAGATGATCTTATGACTACTTATATACAGTATCATATTTTCACCTACATCTTCATATTGATTTAGGAGCCTCATCTTGATTTTAAACTTGGAAAAGACTGAAGTGTCAGCTTTGGAAGCCCTATTGGAACCAGAAGCTTCTACGCTGCCACATTCCTGTGCCTGGGAAAGTAGTGGAGGGATTTTTAGAGTTTTGGTAGTTAGACATAATAGCATTCTTCTTTTCGGTCAAGGTCATGTTGTTCCTGCACCCGGAGGAGGAGTGGTTGAAAAGTTGTCTCAAGTTGGAACTGTTGGTGATTGGACCATGTGATGGATTGAAGGATGCAGGGGTTAGGTTTTGACTTTTGAATTACTAAGGGAAAATCTGGGACTCTCAGATTCGAATTTTCCCAGATGTGCCAGTATACCTACTCTAATAAAAGGAACTTTTGAGAAAATGCCTGTCTCGGAGTTTTTGATTGGAGTTGTGTTTTTCTGGAACCCTGACATGAAGATGTGGGAGAATTTGTGGCATTCCTGTCTAGGCATTATAAAATTTTGGTGGATAAAAAGCCATTACATTGGCCGTGGTTGGCAAAATATCTTTAGAATAAGTAGTGCTAATTGGAAATTGGCATCCATTTATGAATAGATTTCTTTGGAGTACTAATCCATTCATTCATTGTAATATGTTTCATATGTTAAACCCCTCAATTGATGCCAGATGACTGAGATTGGCATGATATTTACAATTGGCTTGGATTGTAAATCTCTTGCAGTAGGCATGGAAGGATCAGAGGCTGGTCCATGTCTTACAAAATGTATTTATTTATTTTATAGTAAATAAACTTTTTGCAGCATAGTTGTTATCATTCCTCTTGAATACTGAAAATAAGTACCTTTGAATATGTAGTTTGTCTGCCCATCTTCATGAAGGGAGGTTGGGAAAAATGCAGACTCATTTTAAATAAGTTCTTCATTAATATCATGTCTCTATAAAATGATCTCCATGATGCTAAGTGCAATAAAAAAGTTTTTGCTGCTCTTTTCCTTTTTTTTTTTTATTTAAATGATTGTGTAGCTGGTAACTCAGGGTTTCTGTCAGAATTTTGAAATAAATTATAACATGCAAAAAAAAAAATGAAATTGAACTTTTAGGCCACAGTTAAGGATTTAGAAGCTCTCTGGTATTTGTTGTTACAAACTGAGGAACAAAACCTGGAGCAAGTATGTTGCTGTGATAGGTAAACATTTTATAAATTTGGAGTGGGAGGTATTAGTTATATGAAGATATGAAACTCAATCTACTTGTGGCTTTTATTTCCAAGCCTCTTTGACTTCCTTGGGTTGAATTTCTGAACCCACAATTCTAATATCTGTTCAGTCACGTGATTGGAGCTCTTCAGCATAATACTGTAAGCAATCTCAAAAGGACCATTAAAAGGATGAAATAATGATAGGCAAAAGATAACAGGATCTGCTCTTTGGCAAGATATATTTTCTTTGATTATTTAGTAATAGCAGCAAAAATGTCTTTTCCTCCCACTTTCTGAATTATAATCTAACCATAGATTCTTAGGTAGTCAAGAAACACAGTCTACACAGATAACAGGGTTATCAGCAAGATTAAAGGGATTTTAACATTTGCAGAACTACAACATTTTTTAAGAAGAAGAAAAATAATATTTTCTTTTAATCCTGTAATCTAGTAGGGTAGAATTTGATCACTGAACAGGAAACAATTACTCAGTAAAGTAAAAAGTAAACATATTGAATCAATCCTGAAAAAATAAGAATGGGTAGCTGGTTGAAAATCTGAAATACAATATTTTTTGTTGCAACTCCCATTTGTTATTGTCAGCCACAAACAAACCCCCCAAACCTTTCCCAAGCATCCAGACTGTTAATCAACCCTCCATGACATTGGAGCAACCAAGAATTTAATGGCAAGATAGACTTCATAAATGATAAATCATGTTTAGTTGCTGACGTGAATAAAATTATAATAATATTCATGAATTTTGTCTTTGACAGTTTTATTATGCAAACAGAAAAACTCTACTTGCTGCAAGGCTCTTCTTTAAGGATAGACAAACATGCACATATAGGCCATGATCTCTACGCTCTTTGTTGCAGATTGTTCTACTGCAATCATGAACTCTCTTTCTAATCTCCAGCTATGGACTTGAAGCCCGTTCTTCCCATGGTGATGCAGAGTTCTTGCAACAGCAACAGCAGCCCAGTGGATTTGCGGATGGATTCCCGGTCCAATGTGCCCACTATGGACCCAACTGTCCGGGAGCAGCAGTTGCAGCAGGAACTACTGGCTCTGAAACAGCAACAGCAATTGCAGAAGCAGCTGCTCTTTGCCGAGTTTCAGAAGCAACATGAGCACCTAACACGGCAGCATGAAGTCCAGTTGCAGAAACACCTCAAGGTAATTTGGAAATGAACTCACCAAGCCATCTCCTTCTGAATCTTACTTTTCGTGTCACACCCAGTATTGGCTATTTGAACTGGCAGCAGTTGTCAAGAATCCTAACCCAGCGGAAATCCTATGAACAGGATTATACTTGGAATGGTATGCGTACAATACCTTGTTTAGTTACATAATGACATAGGCTAATGATATTAGTGCTGTTGCAATAGCATATTTCCTAGAATAAAAATCAATAGTTGAAGCATAGTTTCAGATTTGATGAAGTTACATACAAGCAAGATTGAGTGTTGATAAAACCCAGACCTAAAAGGCTTGGGGTTCTGGCTAACATTTCTTCTGACATTATAGCAGGTAGTTTCTCCAGTCTTGCGACCTGGGGCTCCCATGATAGCTGTGACCTGAATTACCATTTATCTCCTTTATTTCCTCTTTCTTCCTTGATCTTGCAACCATTGGCTAACACCTCTAGAAAATAGCCAGTAGATGACCGTTAAAAAAAATCAGAAAACTAATTCTTCACTGCTGTATAATAGTTGTCTAGAATTTGGCAGCCCAACTAAGGTAATCCTATCCATCCTCCTATTAAATTAATGGTTCTTCCTAGACACTGGCAAAGTCTTGAATTCTACAGGTTGCCATCTGATATAGAACAAGACAGGAAAATATTCAGTTGATCATTAATCTGCATTCCATGATAGTCTGTATGTTTCTGAGCCTAATTAACAATCTCAACATTCAGGGACCTGAACCTATGTCCCCCATGTTTCTTTTCCTGTTCTCCACTGAGTTGATGGGAGAATCCAGAGTGGGTAGTCCCATGTCACCTGCTCTTCAGACTGAGTTGAATTCTGAAGACACGCCTCCCTGGTAACGGTCCTCAGTCTTCAACTCAGTCTCAGCTTGCTCAGATGTCTATTACGGAGGCTCTGAACCTTCGAGACTTTCCTTTTCTCTGGATTCGTCTGATAGATTTTCTCAGATACTTGGAGGACAGAGAGCACCAGAGCAAGCAGCTATAGCCCCCTGGAAGCTTTCCGCATCTGCGGAAGGGGGCTGGAGTCACTGATCGATCAATCATACTCCCTTTGAGAATAGTCGTGGCAGCAGTGTGCCGCTTAAGACTGCCACATGGCTAGTAGCGAGCTTCCAAATCAGTTGTTGAGTGCTCCAGCACTTGTTACAATTATTTACATTTGGCGGCTCTCTATAGGCTAGAGGAGAGCCATGGCAGCTGTGTATCGCTTAAGACTGCCTTTGGAGCAGTAAAACTTCCTTTGCAGCAATTAGTTTTCAAGTGGAAGGGGCTTTCCAGAACAGAAAACGAAAGCAATTTGCAAGTGCCTGCTTTGTTGCTGAACCAATCTTGGAATAAACTGTGAGTTGCAGGAAATTTGGGATCTGAATGGATGCTGGAGGGCTGATCGTGAGGGATCTTCCTCCAACTGAAAGCTCTTTTATCACCTTTGCCTCAGGCTAAAGTTAGGAAGAGACTAGCTGGATCCAGGTCAGCTGGGTCAGGGACTGCAGCCAAGCTTAAGGCCAGAGCTCTTGCTTCCAAAAGCCAACTAGGGCTGAAAAGAAGCAAGCTAAGAGAAGGCATACAGCCTTAGATAAAGAGTTTGAGAAAGCCAGGAAGGATTTAGAACATTAGAAGCAATCAACAGAGGCCAAAGTGGCTCCTGACTCCCTTTTCTGCCATTTTTCTGAGACAGGCTTTAGCCAGAGGAGATTGCAGGGCCCAATACCCTACGTGTCCAAGTTGGTCTCCAGCGGGTTCTAGCGAGCAATATATTCATCAGGGCCTTCCTTTGCCTTCTTACTTCCCACCTTCTACAAGTGTTATGGCAGATATGGCGGTAGCACTGAAGAAAGACACCAACTTGCTGCAAGCCCTGTCTCGGAGGCTATTTCACTCCTACAGCAGTGGGGCTCCGCCCAGGAGAGTCTCAAATTCCACAAATGCCACCTTACTTCAGAGCTTGGATCTCACAAGCCATTAGGCAGGAGATGGCAGCAGAGTTTCAGCAATGGCAGTGGTTGCTCATATCAATGGCTGATCAGGATTTGCAATCTGAGCAGAGGCTCTACACTGGGGAGGAACAACTCTACAGGCCTCATACTCTTCAACCTTCATTCAGAAGCCCGTCCTCTGCCTCGGAGAGAGAGCTACATGATGATAATGATTTGTCTGAAGATAACAGTGAATCATCTAGCACCTTGGCCAAGGCTTATTCCATCCCAGCCTATTTAAACCTCTACTTACTGCTCCAAAGGCAGTCTTAAGGCTAAGTCTTACTGCTCCAAAGGCAGTCTTAAGGCTGAGAGCATGGCTGGCCTCAGAAAGCAGCCGGTAGTCCAGGACACTCTACGAGATGAGTCAGTTCCTAAGGACTTCATTTTTACAGATAAGACCACAGAGGCTGATGCCATATCTGTGCCCAAGATGTTTCTAAATGTGATCAGGAGACAGTGGGTCATACCGGGGGTTTACTCCCAATTCAGTAGCTCGGAGACCATATTCTTCAACATTGACCCTGAACTACTGGATGCAATTCAGATCCCGTCGGTGGATGCAGCCTTGACCTTGACATCCATGTTACCACCTGATGCAGAGGATGTGCTTAAAGCTGAGGAAAGGAAGGAGCCTGGGCCATTAGAGCTTCCATGGCAGCAGCTTTCTTCACTCGGGCCTCATTGCATTGGTTCAAGCAGCTGCAGGGAAGGATCCCTGCAGAAGACCTTCAAATCCACCAGGAGATTACTAAGATTATTTATAATGGAATTTATAATGGATGCCACGCTGAATGCCGCCAAGTTTTCTTCGAGGGTGATTGTCTCTTTGGGCACAGCCTGTCAAATGTTGTGACTCCGTTATTGGAATATGGACAGCAAGAATAAATGGAAATTAGCTTCCATCCCCCTTCAAGGGGGAGAAGCTATTTGGGGAATCTCTGGTTCCATTTTTATTGGAAACCCAGAGACAAGCAGAGGGCAGACTACCGCTCTTTGCCCTATTTTAGGAGACCCTCCTACAGGCAGGGGGAAGCTGGAGCAAGCTTTCTCTGACAGCAACAGCCCTTTTTCCCTAGACCTACCAACCAGGCAGATAGGCCAGCTTTTGGATCCAGAGGCAGACAGCAGCATCCCTTTTGTGGCAACAATAGCAGATCCTTCAGAAGTTCCAAGTGACTTCAAGCTGGATCCCCCCCATAGGGGGCCATCTTGGTCTATTTACACATCGTTGGGAGCAGATCACAACAGATGCCTGGATCAGGGAGACAATAGGGACAGGGCTATTTCTCGAGTTTCTCTTTTCACCCCCGAAATGCTTCATCCGTTTCCAGAGATCTGGCAAAGAGGAACCCCATGGAATCGGCAATCCAGCATTTGATGGACATTTGGGCCATCCAACTGGTGCCAGTGCACCAGAGCGGGCAGGGGTTCTGTTCAATGTTGTTCTTTATCCCAAAGACCTCCAGCGGGTGGAGAGTGATTCTAAATCTCAAGGGACTTAACAGGCACTGGTCTACAGAAGAGTCAAGATGCATTGCCCCCATTCCATTCTGGAAGGGATTTGGGAGGGGAACTTCTTGACCTCTGTGAATCTGATGGAGGCTTACATGCCTGTTTATCCAAATCACCAACTGTTCCTGCAGTTTTGCTATGCTGGCCGCCATTTTCAGTACATGACCCTCCTGTTTGGCCTGTCAGCAGCTCCTTGAATGTTTACCAAGATCCTGGCAGCAGTAGCTGCATACCTCAGAATCCTTCCCATCAGATCCAGTGCTACCTGGATGAAATCCTGATCGAGTTCTCCTCGCACCTACAAGCAGAGGAGGATCTGCATATGACAATTGGGATCCTCAGGGAGCATGGCTTCTCAATAAACATTTGGTCCCCTCAACCCAGCTCGTACACTTGGGGTTGATTATAGACACCTTAACTGGACATGTCTTTCTCTCCCAGGAGTGATGGGACAGCATCAAGGCCTTGTACCTCAGCTTCTGTGCAAAATGATTTCCTGCATTGCCATAGTTCCCTGGGCACGATTTCATGCCCAGTTCTTACAGTGGTTTCTGCTTCCCTATCAAAAGGCGGGCTGGGAAATTCAGCAGTGAGGGTTCGAGTGCTACCAATGTTACTTCGCTCACTCTGCTGGTGGCAGTCCTGGACTATCACTTGAGGTTGTTGCTTCAAGGAACCTTGAAGACTGACTATCAGAACCAATGCCAGTCTGTTTGGTTGGGAGGCCCACCTGGGGCCAGATTCACAGGACATCCAGGGGCAGTGGAGGAGCTGCATCACAATATCAACTGGCTGGAGCTCAGGGCAGCTCAGTTGGCCCTCAAAGGATTCCAGCAGGAGGTTTCGGGACAGCATGTTCTACTTCTCACAGACAAATGTGGCCACCAAGGCCCACATCAATCAGCAGGGGAGGACACCAGGTTCTGATCCCTAATGTAGGAAGTGACCCTACTGTGCCTTTGGGCAGAGAGACGTGTACTATCAATACTGGCAGAGCACATCTTGGGAGTATTGAATGTGCAGGCAGACTGGCTAAGCAGGGTCACAGTTGCCCAGTTAGAATGGTGCCTGCATCCCAGTCTGTTCAAGGAGCTTTCAGAGCAATTTGATTGTCCAATTCTGGACCTCTTTGCCTTTCTGTTAAACTCTCAACCTCCATAATTCCTTACAAGGTTCCCAGCACCAGGGGTGGAAGGGTTCAATGCACTGTGCTGCCCATGGCCCCGTGGCCTCTTGTATGCATTCCCCCACTCTGCCTCTAATTCCAGGTACAATCAGAAGGGTACTGTTGGAGAGGGCGGAGGTCTTACTACTAGCTCTATGTGGCCCAGACGACCATGGTTTGCCAATCTGGTAAGTCTGTCGATTTCCAGGGCTTGGAGGATTCCCCCCAAGCAGAGTCTCCCTCACCCAGGGTCCCATCAAACATCCGGAGCCCCAGTGGCTACAGTTGACCATCTGGCACTTGAGCGGGGACTTCTGAGATGGGAAAAATTCTCCATGCAGATCATACAGACAATTCAGGCAGGCAGACAGACAGTCTTCCACTGCGAGGATTTATGATGCAATGTGGAAGAATTTATATGGTTGGTGTTCGAGATGTCAGATTGAATCCACCTCGGTGTCAGTAGCAGATATTCTGGACTTTCTGCAAGACGGTCTAGATGGTGGTCTATCACTGAATACTTTGCGATGGCAGGAGGCAGCCTTGGCTTCAGTGGTGTCATTTGAGAATTTGATTTCTCTTGCTCAGCAATCTATGGTAAGAGCCTTTCTTAGAGGTGCAATGAACCTGAAGTCACCAGTCGTGCATCAGTACTCTACTTGGGACCTACCAAAAGTACAGGCTCTGACTGTGGCATTGTTTGAGCCTCTACGAGAGACTAGCCTGTGCCTCCTAAGGTCCAAGGTGATTTTCCTGGTGGCCATTACCTCAGCCAGAAGGATTTCAGAGTTGGCGGCCTTATTGGTGAGGAAGGACCTGTGTTTTTTCCATCAGAACAGTGTGGTTCTGTGGCTGGACCCTGCCTTTCTGTCTAAGATAAACTCCTTGTTCCATCATTCGTAAGAGTTGATCTTGCCTGTCCAGAGCCTAGGCATGCTCTGGAGGTGAGATGGCATACCTTGGATGTGAGGAAGATCCTCCACTTTTACATAAAATGAACTACTTTTATTAGGAAGACTGAGTCCCTGTTTGTATCTTTTCAACTGTTGACTGGGACACAAGGTTACTCCGTCCACTGTTTGATGCTGACTAGGTGTTTGTATTGCCAAGGCGAGCTCCAGGCCCTCTCAGTGCCCAGAAGGATTATGGCGCACTCTACCAGGAGTGCAGCCACGATGGCAGCTTGGGCGACACAGGCCTCTGTGGAGGAGATTTGTCAGGTGGCAATGCCATTCATCCGGCATTATAGACTGGACATCTTCGCATTGGCAGAAGCAGCCTTCAGCAGGCGAGTCCTGCAAGGGGTACATGTCAAAGCGGGGACTTCAGACCAGATCGTGCCCGCCCGTAGGACAGCCAGTTTTGGTATGTCCCACTCTGGATTCTCCCATTGATTCAGTGGAGAATGGGCATTGGTACTTACCTGATCATCATTTCTTGGGGAGTCGATGGGAGAATCTAGCCCCACCCTGTGGACTGTCTGGTTCAGAGTCCAGGAGGGGTTGCCTTTGGCTTGGAGAAGGACGACTGGATTCGCTTCATCTTCATCTTGACTGGGGACTGTTAGGAGGGAGTCATGTCCTCAGAATTCAACTCAGTCTGAAGAGCATGTGACATGAGACTACTCACTCTGGATTCTCCTGTCAACTCCCCGAGAAATGGCGTTCAGGTAAGTACCAACACTCATTTTCTTCTTTGCTCTTTACTGTTGTTAAATCCTTGCTATAGCTTTCATCTGTTACCCAAACTGTTCCAGGGATCAGGGTTTTTTCTAATAGGGCATCCATATTTTAGAGCTCAATTCAGGGAAGAACTATTTACGTTGGGAATGGGATGAGGTATGTATCAATCAGCTTTTTCTAATTTTGAATTGGCAAATATGGTGGGTTGCTTCTGCCTTGTTTTAATGTTTTCTTCATCATCAAAATGCAGAGCTCTTTATGAAGGAGAGACCCCAAGTTCAAATAAGCAAGCTAGAATTTAAAATTCAACACAGATGAAAATATAGAAATACAACTGCATTCACTTCAGTTACATTTAATTAGCTACTCTGGATTGGAGTAGAAATCCCTTTAGGCACTGTTGAGCTAAGAAGAGGCAAGACTCAAAAATGGCATTGATTCTGTATCTTTTCATTTGAAAGTCCTTAGACCTAATCCAAATAGGGAGAAAAAGAGACTGGGTATTTGAATAGTGATCCCCCCTCCCCTCCGACATGATCAAAGACCATTATGTGCTGTTGTTTTCCAATTTGCAGAATCCAGTGATAAGAATTTGTAGTGATTTGAATTCTGGCATATTCCTTCATCTCTAAGTGTGACATTATGTTTCTATTTTGATCAGTCATGTGTGCATCTCCAGACTTTGTTTCAATAGCAATAATTAAAACTACTTGGGTGATATTATTTGATGGTGTTCATGTATTGTATTTTAGTAATCCATATTTTCAAGGACAGGAAGATTCTGTCAGTATGAATCACTCATACCCACTTCATACTTTTAAAAGCACTTTGAGAAACAGACTACAATGTTCCTTATTTTAAGAACTTACAGTCTAATCAAGCTATTACATACACTGACCTCATTCAAATATAACTCTGAACTTCAGATTAATGCAATGAGCCCAGATAAGGCTGAAAACTTGTATGTCTTTTCAGCTTTCTTCCATTGTGATTATGAAGAGGAAATTATTTATAGTTTTCTGAAACTTGTTAAACTTGTTTTTATATTCAAACTGGTATAAAACATTTCCACTATACTTTATAATTCTGGCTTGTTCAGATAAACTGGTGGGTTCATATATTAGACTAAAAAATATACAATGAGTTACATCATGCTGAATAAGCTACATTATCAGTTGATGTGTGTAGGAATCAAATAAATGAGTTACAACTAATTACAGGCTTGTCAGAAGATGAGAGAGTTAGTAACGTTCAGTAGTAACCATTAAGTATTAAATCTGAACATAATGTTGCATCTAATGATCAGGTTTTTTATACATGAACATTTTTATTTGTATTTTACAAACCGTTGTACATATAAATGCTATCACTCGGTGTTTTAGTCAGTATTTTGTAGCCTTTTATCTTAGCTATTATCTCAGATTTCCATTTTTCCACTTTTCATTTACTTACGGCTTTTGCTTAAAAAATATTTAGTTAAATCCATAGTTTATAAGCCACATTCACAGTGATACATCTTCAATTTTGAATTATGCATACCAGGTCCTTTCATAGATCTGGAAGTTTTCAGTCAGATTCTCTCCATACTTTTTATGTTTTCAGAAATCATAATTGTCAGGGATAAAAACCAGAACTAGAAAGAGGATTCTTTGTATCATAAAATTGATCTCAATTTCTAATATCTTGACAATTCTTGATGCAGGCTTTTTTGGGGGGTGGGGGGTGGGGTGGGGGAAATGGTTTGCATTGCTGCTTTTGGATTATTTTTCAGCTGTCTAACTATAATATTATATGGCTGCCCATCTTAAGCAATTCTGGGCAACTGATAAGAAGCCAGAAGTCCTGAAATATGTAGTCTCCCATCTCAGTACTATCCAGATCAGAAACTACTTATAAAGAGACCAAATATGGCCAGGTGCTTCTATTTCCTAATGTCATTCTGTATCATATCCGCCCTACAAAAATCCTTTCTCTCTGATTTTGCTATTTTTCTTCTGAAGGTGTTGGTACAGACATTAGAACCTAGAAAGGCAAGTAGTCTGCAGGGATGATGTTTGTGTTCATTCCTAATTCCATCACCTTTTTTGCAGTTACTTGTAAAATAAATTAAAGACTGGGAAATAATGTTATTTTATTATCGAATTGAAGTTTCTGACTTTTAAAGCAATATTTTTACAAGGTTTTTGGTGTCTGTATTTATCAAACCTAAATTTATTTTTGTGTGGTTACCATAACACAATTAAATGTTGACAACGGATACCTATACTAGGAAAGAACATCTTAGAGAATAGGAAGAGGAAAGGCATGGGCTTTGGTAGAAATATGTTACATAAGCATAAATACACAAAGAAAAAAATTACCTTGTGGACAGCATAGGCATACAGAGCCCAAGTTTGATTTTTGCCTAATAAGAGAGCTAATCACAAAAACAATAGGAGAGAAGTATAATTCATGTAAAAAAAAGTAACAGCTGACAGGTCATAAAATACTAGATGGGAACAATGCAAAAGAGAAACCATCAGCCAATAAAATAAAGAGAAATCTCAATTACTACAAAATGTAAATATGCTCTGTAAAAGCAATGTCAAAGCAAATATGGACCTCTTGAAAGACATTGCAGAGCACTAGCTTTACTATTAATCTCAGACAATTAACTGAGTATTAGAAATGTTTTCTACATGGGAATAGGAGTTCCATGATAGTTTTATTCGAGGAGATTTCTAAATGGCTAAAATGCTGTAGAAAAAAAACGCTGTTATAACTTTCCTATCACTCAGAAGTTTTATAAAGCAACAATTACTGCTAGAGAGAAATTGTTAATGAGCAAAGACAATATTCATTTACATTTTCCAGCTTTGCTGCTATAATCTGTGTTTGAAAAATAGCACAGAGTAACCTGCAAATGTATACCTGGATTTTGTTATGTGACATTCATGCACAATGTAGCCTCAAGTACGTACACAATTCCTTTTGGTATTGACCCTTTCCCTGTTCCTTTTTGCAGCAGCAGCAGGAAATGTTGGCAGCAAAGCGTCAACAAGAACTAGAGCAACAGCGTAAACGAGAACAACAGCGACAAGAAGAGCTGGAGAAGCAGCGTCTGGAGCAGCAGTTACTCATCTTACGCAACAAGGAGAAAAGCAAAGAAAGTAATAAGTTTTAATTGCATTGCACTGCATTTATTGGAATGATATCCTGTTTATATTTCATGGACTGGAAGAAGAAACTATAGAGGAGCTAGAGGATTATATTCTCCTATTCCCAAAGTACCATATAGAGAAGCATATTTGAAAACAATCCACATGGACCTAAACCCACTCAGATAATTAAAATTGTCCTCACAAGTATATTGGCAATATAAAGATGTAAATAAATAAACGAACTTGGCTTTCAAGCCAAGGTTAGACTTCTTTGTCATGGCACTTCCTTTCAGATGGAGATTCTTTGCAAAGTAATTTTCAGATTTTTCACAAATCTGCAACCTTTGGGAGTTATTTTTTGAATAAAGATGAGCAATCATTGTCTCTTTGAAGATTAATTGAGGCAATGTATGGTGAGTTGAGCACCCATGGTTGTACATATAGTCAATCTTGCATATAAGCAGACAGGTATAGTACATAAATGCATTTCTGTATAGTCATAAAACATGCAAGTTCTTTTTCACTCCGGACAGACAAATTTACCACTTTTCTCCAGCATGACTAAGCTCTTGACAGCTTACAAACAATTATCTGTGTCAACAGCAACATGGGGATGGGCTGAATTGAGAGATCTCAATGGCAAACCTCATGGGACTTACCCCTGATTTGGGATTGTATAACATACTTAAAGACAATAAAATTTCAGGCATTTTTGGATGTTATACTATGTCTGGCTTGGCTCTTCGATTGATGTTGTAACCTCCACCTCATAATAAATGAATAAAGAATGGTTTAAAAAATATAGTAAATGTAACTCTGTGATGGAATTCTTCAAGAATATGTGAAGGATGATGTGATAAAAATTCTTGCCAGTGTGCTTAGGAAAAATGGATTTCCCCCCTTTTGTAAGCTTGATTGAAGCTGGGTTTTAAAAATAGGTTGTTAGCATGGAATACAAGATGAGAAGAGTAGTGTCCCTGAACACATTTCACTGGCATACTTGTGAGAATTGAAGGTCACATATTTGCATAGCCCCAGCTTAGGGAAGAGAGATAACATCTCAACTTGCCTTTAATGTTTTCTACCAGTGTTTTTCTATAATTTTTAAAGGTGCTATTGCAAGCACTGAAGTGAAGCTGAAACTTCAAGAGTTCCTTCTCAGCAAGTCAAAAGAGCCAACTACAGTGGGTGGCTTGAATCATTCCCTCTCCCAGCATCCCAAATGCTGGTAAGTCTTTCCTTTGTCTCTAGGACAGAGTTTTTCAATCTTGACAACTTTTAAGATGTATGGACTTCAACTCCCAGAATTTCCTAGTCAGCATGCTGGCTAAGAATTCTGGGAGTTGAAATCCATATACCTTAAAGTTGCCAAGATTGAGAAACCCTGCTCTAGAATTTTCAACTAAGTCTGATTTAGGACAGGCTGTGCATAGAGTTGAGTTTCAATTCTGGAACAAATACTTCAGTCACAAACATGGAAGAGCTTTACAGCCTGTGTGCAACTGATATTTGCTCCTGTATATCCGGCAATAGGAAAAAATAGGAATAAGTCTTTCATTTTCAAGGACTCAATTTTCTCTAAATTTAACTGTGTTTGTTGGGTTCTTCTTCAGCAAATAATTATATTTACATAATTATATTATGGTGGGAAGTAGTTCATTCATTCATCTAGCTCAAAATAGCGTTTTCACAGTTCCCTCACCAGTATGCCAGCTTGTGTGTTTCTTCTCTGTATGTATATGTATATGTCTGTGCATGCAAAAGAAAATTCTATTTTTGGATAACGAATTGTGGGGGAATTGGAAGCGTGAGACACTTTCTACTTCCTTTTCTGTTCACAACAGTAGTACATCTTTGTCTAATTTGTATAGCATCTGGTCAAATCCATTTCTCAAAGAAACTAGCAGTTTTCCTGGAAATATCTCTAAGTCCTTCCCAGTCTTATCCAGTTATGCCTGTACTTATTCTCATGCTTCTACTATCAGGTAGCTTTCAGAATTTTTTCTTTGAATTGCTATTTTACAAAAAAAGGCCATAGATAGCAGACTGAATTTGGTGTACTGGTTTAAGCTCTAATGATAAATTGATACTCTATGTTGCTTGATGAAATGGTATTAATATTGATCAAATAACCAGTTAAATTTTGGGCTGAAGATCTGTATTATTACACAAAATCAGTGATCATTCTTGAGCCAAAAGGGGAAATGGAAAACATAAAGATTACTATGATCTTCCTTCCAATCTTCCTTTTGACTTCATTCTTTACAAATTTAAGAATCATCTCACAATGGTAGGGTTAATGAGCATTGTGGTATTACAGAACTTTTTCATCAAAGCTGAATCAAAAGGTAGAAGAATTTCAGGTTATACAGAAAAAAACAAGTTGGATGAAAAAATGAATGATAACTGAATCCATCTGTACTAGTGGCCTTTCACTACTGAGTATACAGCTGGTCTGACTGCGCTTTTCATTTAATGAAATTAAAGAAATGCCAAGTAACTATAAGGTAAACATGAATTCCAATATGAATGGAAAAAGCAGAAGAAAACTTTTGGAAGAAGCAGAGGTAGTCCTCACTTAGCTACCACAAGTGTTATGAGTAAGTTGCTAAGCGCTGTGGTCACTATGTAGAAAATCATTGACTGGCTTACAATTTATTTCCACTTTCTTCATTATCGCTGTTGCAAAGTGCACAAACAGTGACCTCTTGATTGTAGTGTGCTGCGACTCATAAATTTGAAGATTGATTAGAAAGCTAATGGGTTTTTTTATATGCCATTGTAATTTTGAATGTTTGTTAAATGAGCCAATTAGAAAGTGAGGACTCTGTATGCTAATTAGTGTGCAAACATGGCTATCTTGATTTAAATCTTGATGACTGTTGGGTTATTGGTTTTTCTTTGTAAGTTACCCAGAATCACCAAGAGTGAGTTGGGCAGCCATATAATTTTTTTTAATAAATAAATAAACCTGGCCTTTTTTTCTGATTTGTGCAGGGGAGCTCATCATACCTCATTGGACCAGAGTTCCCCTCCCCAGACAGGAAGCCCGGGAACACCAGCCTCTTGCAAACTACCTTTACTTGGCACTTACGATAGCAGAGATGACTTTCCACTCCGGAAAACTGGTTAGTAAGAATCAATAGTTGAAGAATAAACAAAAGGGGAGAAGGTCAATTTCCATGGCTTTCTGGACCTTATATGTGCTAGCTTGTAAAAACAATGGCTGGTGCTGAGAGAGCAAAGGAAAGAAAAAATGATTTATTCTGATGAACTACAAATTAAGAATATTCATTCAAGTATGTTATAAAATACTGCATTTACAATGTGAAAAACTCAACTTCTGACTGAAAATCAAACTCACATACTAAATCCTCATTCTGCTAAAATATTATTAGGACATGAATTCTAAACTTACAGTAAAGAAATGGATAAACATACTGTGAAGACTGACTTAACAAACAGCCTATTTTTAGATGCAATCAGTGCTCCCTTGCAAGAAATCAGCTGTTTAGATGCTAATTGTGTAACAGCTCAGCTGGTTTTTGCAAAAGCTTTTTTTACAGTCGAACTAAGTTGGAAAAAAACAGCACAGGTGCTGTGTGAAATCAGGAAATTTTAGGAACATAGGAAGCTGCCTTATGCCAAGTCTGACTGTTTGTCTTCCTAACCTAGTGATTGGCAGCATGAACACTACCTAAGGTCTTAAGTCAGTAAAGAATCTTTTCCATCACCTCTTTATCTTATTGCCTGGAGAAGCTATTAACAATCTAGTGGTTCTCCCCATTGTTCTCTCCACTAACAGTCTGTTAGGTATATTTTGTGGTTATTTGAATCTTGCCAAGATCTTGGTTACAAGTAAAAAGTACTCAGTTTGAAAGAATTAAATCTTGAAAAGGTGGTGCAGAGAAACTAGCCAATTTCTATGTTATAGTCTCTAAAATGATAAGATCTGAATAAATGTAAATAGTCTATTTGGCACAGTGTGATTGAATATATACTTTCAAAGGACACATAGAAATGGTGTTTAGCAAAACCATGGAATTTGTAGCTATCGGATGGTATCATGTCCACTAAGCTTTCAAAGGGGACCAAACAAATTTATAAAATATCAGCTAGCAATAGCTGCTAGTCCTAGTAGCTATTTACTACTTCCTTAATCCCAGACAGCTGTTAGCAAGAGGGGAAGAAGAAAACAACTATCCTGTCTTTGTTTATGAACTTCCTGAATGCATCTGAATAACTAGTGGATGGACTAAATGGATCATAAGTTTGACCCAACTGGGTTCTACTTACTCTTTTATAAAGACATAATAGCTGAATTGGAAAAAGTTGTCTATATAGAATATCTTCCAGATTTCATGGAGTAAAATAATTTAAATTGGCATCCTGGGTGGGAGGCAGAGGATTTTATCAGGCAGAGGAGTATGAACAAGTCAGAATAAGCTTCATCTACCTACACAGGCCCTGTGATGACCCAGGGCGTGGCATAAAGGCAACACAGTCATATAAATAAGAAGTATCTCCAACTTTGCCCCCAATGTCTAGGTTACCTTCAGCTGGAGAAAAAACTGTCTCAAGAACAGTCTTTAAGTGGAGGAAATTCAGTCCGAAAACAAAGTATATACAAACTGTAAATAAAAATCCACACAAACCACGCTGCATTAATTAACTTGACAGGACAGGATAAGGCAGTGGTCACCAACCAGTGGGCCAGGGACCACTGGTGGTCTGCGAGAAAATGTTGGTGATCCACAGAAAAATGTCACCCCAAAACAATTAATCCAGGCCCACGTGGCTCGTGGGAATACAAGGCTTGCGGCGCTTGCATTGAGAACATGAGGTAGTGAGGGGAGTGGGGGGAAGAGCGGGGGGGGAACTTGCCCCACTTGCCCCACGTGCCTGGCCTGGCCACTGGGCTGCTTTTTTCCGCTTTTGTTATGCTTTTGGCTACCAAATGATCATTCTTTATTTGGGATTGCAGGATACCATCTCCAGCTCCATTCTCAGAGAGAGAGAGAGAGACTTCTGGCTTCATGCGAGGAAAGAAGCAGAAACAGCAAAATTCATTCTTTCTCTCCCCCAAACTCTCCCAGAAATGACTCTTTGTGACCCTGCACAAGGTATCCTGCTCCAAGAGGCTGCACCGGCGCAACAAGTCTCACAAAGACTCATTTCTGGCAGAGTTTGAGGGAGAGAAAGAAAGATTTATGCCGTTTCTGCTGCTTTCCTTGCATGAAGCCAGAAATCTCTCTCCCCCTGAGAATGGAGCTGGAGATGGTATCCTGCAATCCCAAATAAAGAATGATCAATTGGTAGGAAACTGGGGTGGGGAATTTTCCTGCAGACTTTTTTTGGGATTTTCCTAAGGTCTCTGGTCTGCAGGATTTAAAATTGTGAATTTGGTGGTCCCTGAGGTCCAAAAAGTTGGTGACACCTGGGATAAGGAATTGCAGTCTGGAAAGGCCAGCAAAACACACACAGCTGGGAAAACGCCAGGGACCCAGATAAGCCTTGACAATACCAGATAATTCAAGATTTGCTCTCAACAGTTTGCTATGCGCAATTTCCCCCTTTAAACACTATGTTCCCAGCTGTAGCTAATGAAGGGAATCAGGGCCCTTTCCTCCCCTGTAAGCCATGTAATCCATGTTGCTCCTTTCTCTGTTCCTCCCTGCATGCCCTAGGATGAAGAGGGGGTGGGCCTGGACCTTCCTGCAAATTCCCTCTCTCTTGCTCTACCTCTCCCCTGCTCTGCCCAGCTGGACTTTGCCCTTCCCCAGTGTCTTCACAGCCAATGGAGCCACATTCCCAGCCCCTGTCAGCTGCTCAGCCTCCCCCTTTGAATCAGATTCCAACAGGGGCATGACAGGCCCTATTAGTCCTGGACTATCATTTGAAGGATACCTGTGCTGCTTGGAGTCATCCGGAATCCAGATATCATGGACTTTGACATTTAACTATGGTGGCTGGCATTTGGTAGAATTAGAAGGCATTGTATTGGGAATGAGTATTTTATTGTTATGCTTCAGAAATGGAGAATAAATATATTTATAATAAAAAATCTCACTCTTTCTTGAAGCAATACGATTGATCTGCAGTGAGCTTTTTCTCCTCTCTACAATTTGCTTCCTTGCTAAGTCTACCTCAGTAGAATACTGATCACCTCAGTTGTCATTCTTGCTTGCTTCTTCTTTTCAGCCTCAGAACCCAATTTAAAAGTGCGCTCACGATTAAAACAGAAGGTGGCAGAGAGAAGAAGCAGTCCTCTGTTGCGGAGGAAAGATGGGACAGTCATCAGCACCTTCAAAAAACGAGCGATTGAAATCACAGGTGAGAGGACATTAGCCCAGCTTAAGTGCAAGTATCATTTGCTTTTGAAAAAAAACTGGATGAAACATTTCATTCCTCAGTCCTCTCCCTGAGTATGTCAAGAAGGGAGAAAAATGACTGATTAAAAAAGTGTGTCTGGTATACTCTGTGTGCTACAAAGTGTTTGATGAAACAGGATACTGGAATTCAAAACGTTGCAATTAAAGAAAAAAAATGGCAAAATAGATAAAACAATCATTTGTGGAAATGTAATTGTAAAGCCGTGTTTTCCTAAAGAATGGAACTTGTGCAATTTCCCCTCACTTTCTTCTCTCTCTTTTGCTTGAAAGATGTTTTAAACTATATTCACTGAGCAGTGATAGCTTAGCTATGAGCACTGCTCAAATTACATTGTGATGACATGAAACTGTGTTTTTATTTTAAATAAACATGGCTTGGTGGTAAAGAAGCTGGAATCAAAGTTGAATTAATTTTTCAGATAATTAAAATAATTTTTGTTGTTCCAGTTTTTGGCTAGTTCCAGTTTATTTTTCTGCCATTTTTATTTTTATTTTATTTTTACCTTATGGTTTTTACAGGTATATTAGAAATTTTAATGATGCTCAAAAATAAATTTGAATTAAACTATAAATTATATTAACCATGGTTAAATTCTCATACTGTATTATGCATGCATCGAGTCTTTGGACTCCCTGACAAACATTCTATCAAATTCCCACATAATACTAACTAATACTAAGTAAATTTTATTACTTATATATTATTGCATCATGAGTTTGGATATGACTAGAAATCTATTCAAAAGGGAGCACAATAATTCAGGTCAGAAAATATGAGTGTCATAAGAATTATAGCATTTCTTTTTTAAAAACACGAAAGAGGAAGAAATATTTGAATATTTTTAGTTTAATCTTGACCCAATAGTATGATGACATAATTCTCAGTAAAGTGATAATTATTCAAAGACCTCTTAAATGTATTGCAGTCTAAGAGGAGGGATGGATGAACCTAAGAACAGATTTAAAAAGCTCAGGAATAAATATATATATGTGATAAATTCATTTTAGATGTACCACTGATAATCTAGATTGTGGTAATTTATTTGGTGGGCATTTAACTTGTAGGAGTTGTAGAAGAACATTCTGAATATTTTTTTTTATTTTAACTGGGAAAAGGGGGAGTATAGAAGGTTGGCATTTAAGCTCTTAGCAACCTGAGGCTCCTTCTTGGAAACCAGATTTCTCTTTGTTTCACATCTGCATTTATAGTTAATGTAGAAAGGTGAATTTGAAATGCCAAACACTAAGCTAGGAACATTCATTTCTGTGTGGTGAAATCATGCCTTATATCCTTCTCTCTTTTTTTATCAATTCTAATAAAACAAGGAAATCTAAACATTTTGATTAGAAAATAACAAATGGAGGTAAGTTTATCATTTACAGAATCACAAATGGAGGTAATAGTCAGTTTTAGGAAGCTAACTTGTAAATAGCCACCTGCAAGCTTCTCAATTATTAGTGAAAAGAACTATTTCCTCACCAGTTCATTGGAAAACTGTTAGAAAGAGACTAAGAAAATCTCTACCCAATGTATATTCAGGGAAAATTGGGAATCATTAGTCACTGAAATTCTATAATGGTATCCTTTCATGTCAATAAATTTATTTAAAAACTGATGGAATATTGTTTGGAATAATTGCTTTCAGTTGAGACAGCTGTTCAGTTAACAGCCCTGTGAACTAGAAACATGGGAATGCTAGGGATTTTTTTATGCAGCTTATGTAAATTGTATGTTGTATAACATGATGATATTCCTTTATTGCATGTCCACATTCTTTGGTGCTTTGTTCTGTTATAAAGGAAAACCAAATCAACAACTGAATTTTAACTTGTCAACATAAATTTTTCCAATATTTCTTTGCTACCATGTAAATTGAAACTTGATTCTGCTTCAAAATAAAAAGTGAAATTTTCAATAGCCTAATTGGGCACAAGAGCATCTTAATTCAGCAGAAGACTGACATGGTGGCAATCCCCTCCCCAAACTTTCATTGCAGTGTCTTCAATGTGCAACAGTGCTCCTGGATCTGGCCCAAGTTCCCCAAACAGCTCCAACTGCGCCATCACAGAAAACGGGCTTACTGGGTCAGTGCCTAATATACATACTGAGGTAAGGCTAGTGAAAGAGTGTTGCTACCTGCTGCGATGTGCTGCTTTTCTTGTCTACCTGTACATATTTAGCCCACTATTTGTTGCTTTGAACAATAATGTGTTGACTTGGGGCAGAGATCTGGGCTCAGACGACTGCACTCATCTGGGGCTCCCCACTCGATGTGGCCTATCATTATTTTAGCTTCGCAGATTAAATGTGAGAATAGCAATTGGGGTAGAACATCTCTTACTTGCTTCCTTAAGCAAGTGCATGCATTGTCTGTCTGTCTATCTATGAATGCGCACACATGTAATTTTTACTGAATAATTTTAACAAGATAACAACAGTATAAATATTTTAAACAAAAAAATAGAAAAGGAAAAATTTTATAAAGAGGCAGCTTCAATTTTTTTAACAGTTATAAATGAATTTATATTTCAGTCTCTCTAAGATTACATTATCATTTTCTTTTTCCATAGTCAACTATAAATCACAAAGTCATTTTTTCTTTTTTTCCCCTTAAAATGTCTATAAGGGTTTTCCAATTATTGATAGATGTAGTTATTGATTTTTAATCAAAGAAGTTAAATTTGCTGCCTCCACTAGTTCTTCACTGACCATCCCTTTGCTGTGGGTATTTCAGAGCATTTCTATTTTTTTGCATATAATAGTCTTGCGGTAGTAATCATATATAAAAATAATCCTCAATGGCTCTTTTTTACTTGACTGTCCATTAATCCTAGCAAGAAAAGTTCTGATTTCAGTTCAACACAATATTCAACACAATATACATGTTGACATGTTCAGTTCAACACAATATACATATTCACTTTAAAGCCAAGAATATATTAAGGCAGAAGGTTGTCCAATCCCAGGATAAAACATCCAGACAAACTGAGCAATGTGATATATGCAATGCTATGAGACATACGCAGATGTGTAACAGTGATGAAACAGACAACCACTTTACATGTACGTGGCTCAACATAAGAGAAGAGACCCATCAGGACAAGATTCAGCAGTCCTCATGCATCTGAAAAACAAAAATCACTCTTTTGAAGATAGCAAAGTCACATTTTGTATGAAGAGGACCACTGGTTTGAAGGTGGGTTAGAATTAAACATTTCCTTCAAAACAGAGGGAGACGAATAAGACATCTCCTCTCTCGAGTTTACAATGCAGCCCTTGCAACAATTCCAAGAAGATTGAACAATCAAGAGCACCCTGATTCAGATAACCCTGAGGCCACAGATACCCCCCCTTTTTTTTTAACCAACTCTTTTTAAGTCCTACTTAAGGGCAAAGCAGCAACACCCTTGGGAGTGACCCAACTACAGTGGAGTCAGCACTAGACCTGACAGACCCAGGTGAGCTGCTCTTTGAGAAACCAATCAAGGAGAGTGAAGAGATTCCCTCACCTGAATTATTTTGAGATGTAATTCAAGGACAATGGATCCAACCAGTGGTGTTCACAACAGCAGGCGGTACTGACAAAAGATTCTATAATGTGGCCCCAGATCTCTCTGAGGCACTACAACCACCAGCTATAGATGGACAGGTGGCAGCCTTAACTTCCTCCTCTATTCTGTCTAAAAACAGATAAGATTCTTTGAAGGTGGAGGATAAGAAGGCAGAACTGACGCTCCACAAGGTGCATCAGGTAGCTGCCTGGGAGGTCAAAGCGTCCACAGCCGCATCCTTTTTCAACAGAGCCACGCTCATCTGGCTATGCCAGATGCAGGAGAGGGTTGCTCAGCAAGATATCAACAAACTGATAGATGCTTTGGAATTCTCAGCAGATGCCACCCTGAATGCCACCAAGTTCGCTTCTAAGGCCATGGCTGCTTCCATAGCAGTCCAGCGAATACTGTGGCTCTGCCATTGATGGGACATGAAGTCTAAGTGGAAACCAGCCTCTGCTCCCCACAAAGATGGCAAGCTATTTGTAGAGGCCTTAAGTCTAACTCTGTCTTGATGGAGACTAAAGAGAAGACAGAAGGAAGGTTCTACCTTTGGTGTATAAAAGAACAGACCGCTGCCACTCGCCCTATTTCTGGAAGCAAGACCTCCTTTTGGTCCATAGACGTGGGATTTGGGGTCCACCATTTCCAGAGGATGTTATACATGCAGGCAAGACAGACAGCTGGACAAATCTGATTTCAAGGACAGAAATGGCCAACAAGATCAAAACAAACGGCCATTTTGGGGCATGGGCAGTTGCCCCTTCTGCTGCTGATGACAAGCCCACCCCTCTTATTGGTAGGTGCTTAAGTCTATTTGCCAGCCAATGGGCATCAACCACTACATACACCTGGATCCTGAACACGGTGAGACTAGGTCTCACCCTAGATTTCCTCTCCACACCCCTGAGTTTCTTCATAAGTTCCTCGATCTCAAGGGACAAGACAAAAAGAAGCCTCATGGAGGCAGCAGTTCAACACTTACTGGACATCCAAACTATTTAACCAGTTCCATGGGACAAGCAGGGGCAGGAGTTTTACTCCATTCTGTTTGTAGTCCCAAAGACCTTGGGGGGATGGAGAGCAATCCTGGACCTGAAAAGACATCTAATCTACAAAAGATTCAAAATGCAGTCCCTCTAGTCAATACTGGGGAGCATCCAAGAGGGCAACTTCCTGACATCTTTAGACTTCACGGAAGTATATCTACACATACCTATCCTCCCATCTCATCAGAAATTTCTGTGGTTTCATTATGCCAGTCGGCATTATCAATACAAAGCCCTACCATTCAGCCTATCCTCAACACCCAGAACTTTCACCAGGGTACTGGCAATGAAAGCAGCACATTTCATAGCAATTCCAGTGCGCATCCAATGTTATCAGGATGACATATTAGTCTCAAGGCAACAGAGGACCTACTAGGAACACGGGTTCTCTGTGAATTTCGACAAGAGTCATCTGTCTCCTACAAATCGACTGCTACACCTGGGTGCTGTCACAGATACCAGGTCATGCAAGTTCTCCCTGTCTCAGGAGCAACAAGTCGGTATCAAAGTCTTGGCGGGCCAAGTTCAGACAACCCAAACAGTAATCCTGGCCCTTCTCTTGCAGCTTCTGGGCAAAATGGTGCCCTGCATATCGTTTGTACCTTGGGCACGCCTTCCGCAAGAACCTTGCAGTGGTTCCTTCTGCCCTACCAAAAATCAGGCAGGAGCAACTTGAAGGTTCAGGTTCTACCAAAGGCACTGCACTGTCCAATGGTGTTCAGGTTCAGGTTCTACCAAAGGCACTGCACTGTCCAATGGTGGAGGTTGCAGGACATAACCCAGGTGTGTCTTCAAGGAACCCAACCACCTGACCATTATCACAGATGCCAGCCTATTTGGCTGGGGCATCCATTGCCAGTCCCAGATAGCACAAGGACAGTGGTTCTAAACGGACCTCAGGAACAACATCAACTGGCTGCAACTCAGGGCAACTCATCCCTGAGGAGGTTCCAGGAAAGTATATTGGGTCACCACATATTCATTCTGACATAGCCACCAAGGCACATATCAACTGTCAAGGGAGGACCATTCCAGAGCACTCATGCAGGAGGCAAGACGATTAGAACTCTGGGCAGAGAGACATCTCCTCTCCATCAGAGTGGAGCACATTTCAGGGACAGCGAATGTACAGGCAAACTGGCTCAGCAGAGCCACAATCGACCACTCAGAGTGGCGCCTACACCCAGACCTGTTCAGGGAAGTTTCAGAAATCCAATCGTGGATCTCTTTGCTTCCCCAACAAATGCCCAGTTACCAAGGTTTTATTCCAGGCTTCCAACAGTGGGGGCGGAAAGAGCAACGATTTTCCACAACCCATGGTGCCTGGGACCTGCTATATGCCTTTCCCTCACTTCCCCTAATTCTGAGAGTAATGAAAAAAGTGATACAGGAGAAGGCGGATATCCTACTTCTAGCCCCACATTGGCCCAGACGTCCGTGGTATGCAGATCTGGTCAGTCTATCGGTATCCAAGCCATGGAGGATTCCTCGAGAAAGAGTCTCCCTAAGTCAGGGAGCATTGCTTCATCCAGAACCACAGTGGCTTCAACTGACCATTTGGCATTTGAGCAGACAGCTCTGAGTCAGCTCAATTGTTCCAGTAAGATCATACAAACAATCCAGGGGGCCCTCAACCAACAGAATTTACAACGCCACATTGAGAACCTTCTGTGATAATAAGGAGCAGCAGTAGACCTGGGAAGAGTGTGACTAAAGAGAGTTGACTAAAGACCAGGGGGACTGGAGTGGGCCCTCTGGGGATGAAGTCCACTGAATTGGATAAAGACCAAAGGATCCTATGGCAATGTGGTGGCAGAGTGGGATGTCCAAAATATGGTGCAATATTCTAAAGCAAGGTAGGATATCTAAGAGTTAGACAGCAAGGCTATCTGAAATGGAATCAGGCCCAGATATGTGAGCCAATATTGTCTGAGAACTTATAAGGCCGCAACAAAAGGAAAGGCTGCACTCATTAGAAAGCATGAATTTATTCCTGATAACAAGAAGCAGCAGTAGATCTGGAAGAGTGTGACAGCAAATTGGGGTTGCCTAAAGGCCAGGGAGGCTGGAGTGGGCCCGCTGGGATATGGGAGCCCACTGAATTGGATAAAAACCAAAGGATCCTATGGCAATGTGGTTTAGAGTCAGCCTATTGCTTCCAACAATCTGGGGCCTCATTTACCAACCTCTGATGGTTAGAAGGTTGAATCAACCAATTGAGAATTGAACTCCTGGAGTGAGCAGTGAGTTAGGCCTGCTATACTGCATTCTAACCCATTCTAAGCACTGGCTCTTAAAGGAAGGGAGTTTTGCCCTTGCAGAAATTAAACACTGTGCTGGTTGATGAAACCAGACCAAAATATCACAGCATGTACCAAACACATTAATATGGGTTAAATAAAAGGGTCAGTTTGTCCAGTTGAACAGATTCCTAGAACAGATTGGGAGAAAAAAGTGCCCAAATATACCAAAGGAAGGCTACCTGAAATGGGATCAGGCCCAGATATGTGAGCCAATATCGTCCCAACAAGAGGAAAGGCTGCACTCATTATGAAGAGCTGCAAATTCACATATTGATTATTTCTCTTTAACAAAAGCTTTTAATGCGATAGAATGTCTACTGAGGAAAAACATTGCTTTTACTTTTCCAAGAGAAGCATGTGATTCCATACAGTGTTTATATGGACAGTGCCAGGCTTCTTGTAACAACCTGAAAGCTCCCCGAAGAGAAAAATGATTTTTGTTTGTGAAAAAGAAAGCTAAAGATTCTCTTCTGATTTTCAGTTAGTATTTATCCTGTTTCTGTGGGGAAAATTCTGTGGGTATTTCCATTCTCTCACTTGCTCAAAACAATTCCCCCCCCCCCCCCCCCCCCCTCGTCTTCTGCTGGACTGCATTGGGCTGGGCTGCAGTGCAGAAGAGCCTATCATTATTTTCTACATGACAGTTCCTTTCCCCACCAGACTTCTGAAGATAGTTTTCCCACTGTTACAAAACAAAGCACCTCCTGGTGGACAAATCCGCTTTTGGACATTGCAAAGAACAGTGTTATTTACTTCTATTTCTGGCTTGAAATACATTTGTAATATCACCATTATCATCTAGGTCTATTAGGGAGATTTTAAAAAAAAATTAGGAGGAATTACTTAAGTATCTAACACTATCTTGAGCCAGGAACAGTCCAAATAACAAATCTATGTGGGAATGTTGCAGTGCAATTATACAGTTAATGTACATAAAACTGTTTGAAATGGAGTATATATATATATATATTGTCTGTGTGTATTGAAATATATGATTATAATTAATTTTATCTTTAAAATGACACCATTGTTTACTCCCAGCATACATTCACTTTACAGTGGTAAAGCAGTGTGTTTGTAGCACCCAAAGAAAAAGAAAAGATCTATAGTGTTGGTTGCAGATACTATACAACCAGGCCAACTGCAGTAGAGAAGAGGGATAAGGAAGATGGAGTCAGCCAAAACTGTCTTCATTGCATCTTTGATAGTTGTTCAGCCCAGCTGATAAGATACTAAAATCTAATATTAGCAGACAAGTAGCAGTCTTGTGACAAGTTTATATGACACTTTAGGAACAATTATTCTTATCATCTGGAATCCCACATCGTTACTGATGCAGTTGTATGAATTATCCAAGTAGTTTAATTTGGTGGGATCTGCTGAAGTAGAATGAAGATGTTTGGAAGAATGTAACTTGTATCTTGTTTAATGTCCCTAAGGGATTAAAAGTAGAAAAGAAAGCAATGAATACCTCTTTACAAATTCAAAGTCCCAGCTGCCTTGAAATGCAGCTGTACGGCTGTATATGGCTTAGAGATCCAATCCAGTCCAAGTTTAGTTTTGGCACAGCAATGAATTTGGTTTCCTTTGTGGATAAAGTTTGTCTGAAAAGAGTTGGAAAGTATTAATTTTCTTTATTTTCTTGATGAGTTTTGATATCACAACTGTAATTTCTTACTCAGCTAATTTTTAGATTATCAAGCACATACAAATCTGCTCTGAATGGCAGATAATTGAAGAGGAAATGCTTATACTGGTCTTATTACCTCTGCCTGGCTAGATGTATTAGACTATAAATCCCATAATTCCTGGCCAGCATAGCCCCAAATTTCCAGGCTGTACGTTAATCAACATTCAGGGACATTGATCCCTCAGCTATTTATTATTTTGCTTCTTGGATATATATAAAATAAGAAAATAATTATTTTCAGCTTTTATATCCCAGGATACATCTCTGCTTTGTCTTGCCTTGTTAACGAGGTCACATTAAAGAGCTGGGATAATACCAAGTTTTTTTCATCTTGCTAAATACAGTATGATGTATTCTTATTTATCTGTATTATCTTATCTACTGTCCCTCTTTCTAATCCTTCTTCTCCTTTTATACAGATGTTGCCACAGCACCAAGCTGTTACCGTGGATGGATCAGCTAGCCAACTTAGCCTATACACTTCTCCATCACTGCCCAATATCTCCTTAGGACTCCAGACAACTGTCACAGTCACAAATTCACACCTCAATGTGAGTATGGCTTCCCCTTCCCCAAAAAACTTTATTGAAATTTATAGATATGGATATAGCAACTAAATGAAACAAATGAAATACAGAGATTAAGTAAATGAAAAAAGAGTTCCTCCTAGAACCATCCCTACCAGAGGTGGTATTCAGCAGGTTTTGAGTAGTTCGGAGAACCTGCAAATACTGCTGCTGACTGGGGATTTTAAATATCCTTCCCCTGCCACACCCACCAAGCCAAGCCCACAGAACTGGTAGTAAAAAAAAAAAGAATCCCACCACTGGTCCCTACAAGTTTCATGTCACACAAACACACATTTTAAGTGTGCCTATACTAAAGCATTGCCCCATTCTTGTCAAAGGGGAAAAGCTAAAGAATAGGTGCAAATTTATTTGGATGGGTTTGTAATATAAATGTGACAAATTAGAACATTTCAAAACATGGAGTTCATTCCCCCATTCTCTTGTTCATTTCAGTATGTGGCAGTATCTGTCAGACCTTATCTTGACTCAGGGGTTAAGCACAGAATCAAGCTTGATTAGTTCTGGGATAGCAAGAGAATACCAGGGCTTTAACTAGACTTGGAAGTTAAATGAAAAAAAAGTCCTAGAAGAAGTAGGGATAATTGTTGCCAGGAAAACAACATCCATGTGTCCACATAATTCCAGGATTTGAGTTCAGTTGAAAATATACTTTTTTTCCCCTACCATGTATTCATCTAGTTGGAAGTTATATTTATGGCAGTGACCACTGCAATAGCATGTGATAGTTTTACACATTTTATGTTTAATCAGTTACGGAACAATTTCTGTAAATAACTATTTCTATGTCCACTTACAGTCTGAATGGATTGAAGGGGGATAAGAGTCATATAAGTCATCAACCACATTAACAACATTGTTATTATCATCTTTTTCTTAGTCATTATTAATCTTTTGACCTCTAGCTCTATGCTAAAGCATAGCTTTATAATCTGAAAAAACTTTCAGTAGAATGTAAGAGATTTGCTCCAATTTTTTCAAATTAAGAATTTAAGCATAATCAAAATGAAAGCTTAAAATGTATCAAGATTTTAATCATTTATTCAATCATTTCCTCTTCTTACCATATTTAAAATTACAATTTTTGAGACAGTATCTTTCAGACATTTTTTAGAAACTTCATTGCAGGTTTTGGTGGCGATTTGTGCATCTCTGTATTAAAGTCTCTTCCCGATCCTTGTTCCAGATCTACTTTATTTCTTTTCAGTACAATGGAAGGGCCCCTAATATTTTGTGAGCCAAACCAGTAACGATATATAATTTGCTTTCTTTCCTTTTTTCTGCTTTTAGAGCACCACTGGTCTCTGGGTTTTGTTTTCTGACAAGCAGTTGATACCAAGCTGTGTCCTATTTATTGCTTCTTTCCTGATGACAGGCACCACATTTGGCTCAGGACCTGACCTGTGGCAGTTGTGCCCGGTTGACAGCTTGTCTATTTTCAGTGTCAGAAATTAGAAATAGCTCACTGGCAGATTTCATGTTATACTATTCTCTGCTGTGATTTGCTTTCCTTATCCAAGAGTAGTAAACGGCTTTATAGCTATGTCTGTGCTCCAGACACCCAGGCTCAGCTGAGATTAGCAAGCTCTCCAGACCTCTATTAATTAGTCCAGTCTTGAATTTGAATGTAATCATATGGTAGCCTGTTAATTTGTACTAGATCACTGTGCCCCAAATATGTCTACTGGATTCTATTATTCTACCATTATATTCTGAACTCATTTAAATCAGATCTGTTTGGAGGACTTTGGGGAGCCTAAATTAACGATCAAGTGAAAGAAAAAAAATGTTCCAAATCAACGAAGCTTCTGGAGCTGGAGTTTTCCTATTCCGCTGTCCTTATTCCTAAAATCACTGTAGTTACAATTGGTACATATGGAGCTTTATAAAAAGTAGAGAGAACTAATCTTTACCATGGTGGGCTTTCAGTATGAAGTAGGCACAAGACAGATAGCAGAAGCAGAATGGTCAAATAAGGGAGATAATGGATCTAATTGCCATCGATGTAGTTGGGAATTAAAATTGGGTATCCAGTGATATCTTAATGAGGCTAGGAATACCCAAATACATTTTTTCTGTACTTGGATTTTCTTCAACATCATGTTTTCCTAAACTTACTGCAAAGTGTAGACTTTTTCAGAGCTCTACAGAATCTGGTTTACATTTTTGATGAATTTATGGGATGTAGTAGGAAGGATGTGGTTTTCTATATCTTTGTTCAACTCATCTTTTCATTCCATTTATTGAACCCCTAGCATAATTATGGTAATACATACTAACAATGAAATATTCATAGCATTAATCAGATTATGAAAGGAGTGGGGAATTTGTAGCTAGATATTCCTGGACTTCAAGAACTCTTCACTGCCTCAGTTGCTAAAAATTGTAATTCAGCAGCACCATTTCATAAACAGTTAACTGTGGGAATATTGCTAGGATGGAATATTTAGAAGGCCCTGGGAATATAGGGGAGAAACCAAAACTTTGCCTAGGAGATATCTCAGTCCAGAGGAAGACAGAAGTGTGAGAAAATGATTAAAACAACTCCTCTTAATTATACTAAGTTGAACAGAAGACTTGCTTTAGCAGGCTTTTGAAATATTATACTTTATCCTATTAAGAGTAAAGATATTTCCAGAAATCTAAATGGTTCTTTTCTGAGTGTGCCTGGCTGCAGGAAAATTGATACCCCAGGCATAAGGAAGGGTAGATGAGAAAGGAAGAGGTTTCTATTGAGGTGAACTGAACATCACAAAGAGTAGAGATAATATTGCAGCAGAAATGCTAGTATTTCTGTAGATATTATTGCAGATAATATTGCAGTAAAGTTAATGTTGGCTGGCAAAATCTTTCTGGACAAAGGAGAGATCATGAGAGTGCCCACTTCCACTCCAGATAGCTGCTTCTCATGAATAAACTGCAAAAACAAAAGTTTGTGCAATTAATTTGTGAGTTGAGCTCATAGCCCGTATAAAATCTACCCAATCCTCATTTCTTAATCACATTTGGATCTAATTTCTATTTAAAGAATGCCTTTCTTTGAGCAGGATAATATTCCACTTGGAGGGTTATCATTTTTTCTGGATTGCAAAGGAATAAAGAGGAAAAAGTTTTAAAGACTTAATAACTTCTGGCAAAAAGATTAACAAGGAGATGATATAAGAAAGTTTAAAATGGATGAAAGGGACAGTATTTGTGTATTTTGTAGTGAAAATACTTTTGAATGCTATGAAGAAAATTAGAACCTACTTTGTTTCTTTTTCTTTCTTTGCTTTTGCATTTTAGCTCTTAATTTCGTATCTTTTTTCCTGTTTCCTCCTGCTTTATATTTTACTTTATTGTATCTCTCATCTGGACCTAGGATAGTCTAGAAGCCCTCTTTGTCTCTGTTTCCTTTAGACCTCCCCAAATCTAACCACACAGCAAGAAGCAGAGCGCCAGACCATCCAATCATTGCGCCAGGGAGGTGCCTTGACAAGCAAGTTCCTCAGCATGTCTTCTATTCCCAGTTGCCTTCTGGGAGTTGCTCTTGAGGGAGAGACCAATAATCATGGGCACGCTTCTTTGCTTCAACATGTCCTGCTTCTGGAACAGGCTCGGCAACAGAATACACTAATTGCTGGTAAGCAGGTCAAGTGTGAGTTTGTCCACAAGGGATGTGCATGGCATAGAAAATGTAGTACTCATTCATTGTTGCTTGGAAGCAGCTGAGAAACAAGAGGAAATGGGATAGTTGGGATACCACTATATAGCATTCAGTGGAAGTCAGTAACATTTATTTTTATCCTGTCTTAATTTTTTATAAATAACTGAAGATGATAAACATTCCTCATACTTCCTCCTCCTCCTATTTTCTCCACCACAGCAACCCTGTGAGGTGAGTTGGGCTAAGAGAGAATGAGTGGCCCAAAGTCACCCAGCTGCCTTTCATGCCTAAGGCAGAACTAGAACTTAGTCTCCTGGTTTTAGAGCCTGGTGCCTTAAGCATTAGACCTAACTGTCATTATCCTGCATTTATCTTGGCTAGTGCTGATAATTAACTAAATGTATATCTACGATGGCTCTGCTTAGCTGCCAGAAACAGCTCATTTATGAGGTGTTTCATTCCTTTTTATTGGTTGTTCTCAGAAAAGGGTAGTACATAATTCTTCTGAAATAGAATCATTTTAATGGGCTGCTAGTAAAAATGAGTAATTTCTGCTAATGAGTGAAATCAGGAATCAAACATTTAAAGTGATTATTTCTGGCAAGAGATCAAAAGTGCACAAAGAGGACAGGAAATAGAACAAATGGCCTCTTCTAAATACCTGGAATTTATTTCAAAAACAAAATACTTCAGGTACTTAACTGATGTTCTCACTCTAATATAATACAGCAAGATTTTTTTTTCACCAATCTACGTAGCCCCATTGTTGTAGGGCTGAGATCTGGGGAATAAGCAATAACAAGATTTTTGAAAGTCTAAAAAAGAAATTTGTCAGCAGAACCCCTTTTTTGAGGCTTGCTACAGCACTATAATGGAAACAGCTTTATCATTGAGTATTAATACTCAACTTAATGATATTAAAGATCATTGCACATGGCGACTGCAGCCATGAAATTAAAAGACACTTGTTCCTTGGGAGGAAAGCTATAACAATTCTAAACAGTATATTAAAAAGCAAGACATCACTTTGCCGACAAAGGTCCGTATAATTAAAGCTATGGTTTTCCCAATAGTAATGTATGGCTGTGAAAGTTGGACCATAAGGAAAGCTGAAGTATTGATGCTTTTGAATTGTGATGTTGGAGAAGACTCATGAGAGTCCCTTGCACTACAAGGAGATCAAAATCAGTCAACCATAAAGGAAACTCTAATTGTCCTTTGGAAGAATGGATGCTGAAATTGAAGCTCAACTACTTTGGCCGCAAATGAGAAGAGAGGACTGATTGGGAAAGACCTTGTTGTTGGGAAAGAGTGAAGGCAAAAGGAGATGGGTGCAGGCAAGGATGAGATAGATAGTATCATCAATGCAATGGGCCTGAGTTTGGGCACTGTTGGAGACAGTGTAAGAGAGAAAGGCCACGTGTGCTATGAGATCACAAAGAGTCAGACATAACTTGGGAACTGAACAGCAAAAACAAATTAATGATACTTAAGTAATACTGATTCAAGTATGCAGGTATTACAACACTTAGAGAGGCTGCTTTGAATTCAGGACATAGTTTATCTATAATATTAGGAAGAATTGTTGAAATCAGGAAGATGGATATAATTTAGTCTATCAAGAGTACAGGGGAAACTCGAAAAATTAGAATATCGTGCAAAAATTCATTTAACCCAAATCCACAATCTCAGAAAATTAGAATATTACATGCAATCAATAAAACAAGGATTGTACAGAGAACAATATCGGACCTCTGAAAAGTATAAGCATGCATATGTACTCAGTTTGGGCCCCTTTTGCAGCAATTACTGCCTCAATGTGGCATGGTATGGAAGCTATCAGCCTATGGCACTGCTGAGGTGTAATGGAAGACCAGGATGCTTCAATAGCGGCCTTCAGTTCTTCTGCATTGTTCGGTCTCATGTCTCTCATCTTTTTCTTGGCAATGCCCAATAGATTCTCTATGGGGTTCAGGTCAGGCAAGTTTGCTGGACAATCAAGCACAGTAATCCCACAGTCATTGAACCAGGTTTTGGTGCTTTTGGCAGTGTGGGCAGCTACCAAGTCCTGCTGGAAAATGAAGTCAGCATCCCCATAAAGCTCGTCTGTGGAAGGAAGCATGAAGAGCTCCAAAATCTGGTAGACTGCTGTGTTGACCCTGGACTTAATGAAGCACAGTGGACAAATACCAGCAGATGACATGGCTCCCCAAATCAACACAGACTGTGGAAACTTCACACTTCATTTCAAGCATCTTGCAATGTGTGCCTCCATTCTTCCTCCAGACTCTAGGCCCTTAGTTTCCAAATGAGATGCAAAAGTTGCTCTCATCAGAAAAGAGGACTTTGGACCACTGAGCAACAGACCAGTTTTGTTTTTCTTTAGCCCAGGTAAGACCCTTCTGACCCTTCTTTGTTGTTCAGGAATGGCTTGACAAGAGGAATACGACATTTGAAGCCCATTCCAGGATCCGTCTGTGTGTGGTGGCTCTTGATGCACTGACTCCAGCCTCAGTCCACTCCTTGTGAAAGTCCCCAACACTTTTGAATGGCCTTTTCCTGACAATCCTCTCCAGGCTGCGGTCATCCCTGCAGCTTAGCACCTTTTTCTTCTACTTTTCCCTTCCACATAACGTTCTATTAATGTGCTTTGATACAGCACTTTGGTAACATCCAACTTCTTTTGCAATTACCTTTTGAGGCTTTCCCTCCTTGTGGAGGGGGTCATTGATGGTTTTCTGCACAACTGTCAGGTTTCCCATGATTGTGATTCCTACTGAACCAGATTGAGAGACCATTTAAAGGCCCAGGAATCCTTTGCAGGTGTAATGGCTTAATTAGCTGATTAGACACTTTTAGCCTAGAATATTGAACCTTTTCACAACATTCTAATTTTCTGAGATTGTGGATTTGGGTTTTCATGAGCTGTAAGCCATAATAATCTCAATTATGATACATCACACCTTGAACTATCTTGCTTTGCATGTAATGAGTCTATCTCATATATTAGTTTCACCTTTTAAGTTGCATTACTGAAATAAATGAACTTTTGCGCGATATTCTAATTTTTTGAGTTTCACCTGTAGATCTGTATTTCATGAAGACTGCATTGAACAAAGAACTCAGAGTCAACCAAAATAGCAGTTTTATGATTATGAGTTTGTAATTGTCTGAAAATTATCAGCCACTCACATATTTTCAGATGGTATATTATATTATGATATTGTATTATAAATCATGATACCCACCCTATCCGAAAATCCTAACTTTCTTCTAGTAGGGAACACTTACTGATTTGGGATTCTACCTCAAGCCCATAGTTCTACTAGAAAGCTGGTATTCTTACCTTCCCTCGTTTTAACCATAAATGTATTTGTGGTAGTGGAAATGATCAAAGGCAAGATTATTTGTCTTCCTGCCAAATACATGTCTTCATCTAAGAAGGACCTTTTTGTCCTGTCTTATCCAGCAGCAATGAAACACTTCGCAAATACTGAAATAGCAATAAAAATTTTGATGGACGAAAGCTTTCATTACAGACCAGATTGAAAAATCTGCTATAGCATCCAGAAAAGTACAAGCAACTTTTCTTTCTAGAATTGCAGTTGATTGCAAAGGGGATGATGTGCGCAGCAGTTTTGTGCTTTGAAAGCTAGTTTTTATTAATTTCAGGGTAATTAAAAGAAGAGCTTGGCACATTTTTAGATTTTGGGTATTTGATTGCCAAGACCTGTAGCTAAAAGCAAATAAACATTTGTCTTTCATCTTATTACATTTTTTTCTCTTATAGAAGCCCCCGTTGGGTTAGTGGCAGTGATAAAAGCTATCTAATTGCAGCTTTGTTCTAATGGTAATTTTCTTCTCTTCAAAATCAGGTCTGTAGCCACTTGGCCAATTTTTGCATTTTGGCGACAAATCAGAATGTGAACCTTCCAAAACTGTGGTCATGTTCAAGCCATTTACTAATATTTCCATGTAAATAAATAAAAAAGATGAGATCTGGTTACACTGCTTATGGCTTTTCATTTTTAAATGAAATGTGATGCAATAGTTTACAAGTACCTTTCCAATAAAGCCTGGACTCTTCATTACAGTTCCTCTGCATGGCCAATCCCCTCTAGTGACAGGAGAACGCATCCCCTCCAACTTACGCACTGTAAGCAAGTTGCCTCGACATCGTCCATTGAGCCGCACCCAATCATCCCCATTGCCTCAAAGCCCCCAAGCATTGCAACACTTGGTTGTGCAGCAGCAGCATCAACATTTTCTGGAGAAGCAGAAACAGCAGCAAATTCAACTGGGAAAGGTAGGCAAAGGGCACTGTGACTCAGGCAAAACATTTGTGTAATCTATTTGGACATGAATCCATGTTGTCTGGGATCCCAAGCTAAAGAAGTATATGATTGAAAGGGAAAGCTCCTTTTTCCCCTTCTGTTTGTCATTCAGCATGCTCCAAGCTACTTGGGACTGCTGAAATCTTCCACCTACTGTCAGTCTGTTTAGAATAGGGCAATTGAATAGTATGTGCATTTTTCTCAGTTCCTCTTTATCCTGTAAGCAGCTAAGAGGACTAGAAATTAAGCTCAAAGAATCGAAGTCACCAGAACAGCAAAACTGTATTTAGTGTAACTTACCCCCACCCCCACCCCAAGCTTCCAGGTTCTTGCTTCGACCTCACAATTACTAGGCAATTAAAATACAAGCAGTTTTTCCTTTTTAATTTTTCTCCTCTTGCAGATAATCACTAAGACTGGTGAGTTGCCACGACCACCTACTACACATCCTGAAGAAACAGAAGAGGAATTGACAGAACAACAGGAATCTTTGGGGCTTGGTTCGGGCCTGGGCCAGGGGCCCTTTGTGCTGGATGGGTCAATAGAAAATGAGGGGACCCAGGATGGCTTGGATGAACAAGAGGAGGATGAAGAAGAAGAAAAGAGGGCAGCCAAAGAACAAGGCTGTCTTCGAATGAAAGATGAAGATGGAGTGAACCTGCTGGAAGAAGAACAGGAGGTTGAGGAGGTGGGAGTTACTTACAGGCAGGTGAGGCCTCTCTTAAAATTATATATCATTAAAATCTGTACTGGAATCACAGGAAAGAAATTGTTAAAACTCCAAAAGGCTTCTCCTCTTCAAGGCCAGATGCAGTATGGGAGGGGAGGCATTTATGTTCATCTGTTCACTTCCACGGCAAGATAGCAAAAGCATATATGTATGAGAGCAAAGACCTCTCTATGACTTATGAGACTTTGTGCCTTGACATATGCGAAGTTGTGAGATTCAAACTTGTTTAGCATTACATATTTTTAGGCATGGCAATTAATTCCTGAGCTAGCAAGGAAAACTAATAGCCCCTTTTTCCTGCTTTTCAGTATAAGAAGATTCAAGAGAGGAAGTGAGATTCCATTATTTCACAGTTGTGGATGGTATCTCCATTTTGGCCACACCGTTTACCAACTGGCATGGAAAAAATAGAGGGTAGAAAAGAATGGAAATAGAAGAGAAATCATGATTCTAAAAACTAGTGGGCATAAAGGCAGGAAATATATTTGGGTAATTTATGACAGATGCCCGAAGAAATGTGGCTGCCCTGGTACTTCTTGATATTTGCAGTGAAGTAGAAAAACCCAGAAGGATGCAGAAGAGCGGGATGCCTCATTTGAATGATTAGTAGAATTGCTTGGACACAAATATCAAGTAAAGAAAAGTATAGTATGCTTTTAAAAGTAAAAATACGTTTTTATAAATGGAAAACAATATTGCAGACAATAGGAATAGTCCCACTGGAGGTCAAACATATCAATTCCCCCATTCCTGCTGAGCTTGTTTGCTACTGCCTCTTGAGGAAGACTGGGTCAAAGTAGGAAGAATAATATAGTTATGGAAGACTAGAGAAAGAGGCACTTCATAACAAACAGGGGAGGTGTATTATAAGGAACTGTAAGTTTGGAGAACTAGTTGAAGGACTGTCTCTTACTTCCCATTCTTCATCCCCATTCATCTGAGATAATGGAGCCTCCAAAAGGGAAAGTGACTCATCTCCTGCATTAGAGTCACCTTTTCTGTCTCTCTTATCCTTGGTTTCTGAGCATACTTCTGGCTTCTGAACGTCATCCTTGATTATGAGTCATCTGCCTTGCTTTTCATTCTGTTCATTTAAAAATTTCATAGTTCCTTACTAGAATGTGTCTTTGGCAAAGAAATGAAAGTCCTTTCCTCCAGACGAAGGGTCAGCAAAGAAATCACAATTGATTGAAAGGAGTTCAAAAATAAAATATGTCAAAGGAACATTGAGGGGTAGCTTAGGACTCATGCATAATAAGGTATGGGTGCTATTGTTAAAATGGATGCTACACATTTTTGGAAAATTCTTGATTTGAGTTTACTGTGGAACCCTATATTTAATCAAGCATAAAACACAAATTCAAGTTTGATTCAAATCGATCATTTCCCCACATATTCAAGCTCTTTTCCTCCAGTGTCATCCCATGGTCAATTACAGAAGATAACCATACTTTGAAAAGCTTGGCAGTAATGTAGAATCTTCAGCTTGCAATAATTGTTGAATATCAATGCTCAACAACATGATCAGTGGTGAGAAATTTTGGAGAAACTAATCTCTTGGAAATTAGTAATATCTGGGAGGTCAGAAATATAACCTTGGATAATTTTATGGTCAAAGATGGTATGTTTTATCCTCTATTCCTCCAGTGCAATAAGTTCTGATTCAAAATACAACAAAAATATTTTTAACTGAACATTACAAAGAACCTCTTGCCAGGTAATCTCTTATGACTGTGGAACAGACTGCCCCGAAAGAAATCAGTCTGTTGTAGAATTTTAAACAAAGACTTAATGGCCATTTACCAGAGGTTTCCTATATTATCTTTGAAGTTTCTGCCATGTTTTTGATTCTGTGAATGTATTCTATAAAATGTTCTCAACATGGTACCTTTCAGATTTATTATAACCATTTCCCAGGATTTCCAACTATCAAAATAATTGGTCATACTGGCTGGAAATTCTAAAATTCTGCAAATTGAGGATGGCTATAGCAGGGAGTCGGTGGCTGTGTTCAATAACCCAGATCACATTAAGCCATAATCAACTGGAGGTGGCTTGTGTAATCTAATTGCCTAAATTAGCCTAGTATGATGTACGCATCTAATTATTTCTTCATGGATTTTATATTCAACAAAATCAGGATGGCTTTCCTGCCCCCCAGTTAAAAAAAACACTAATTTAAATGAAAATATTAACATTGAAGATATTTTGGAGGAGGGGGAGGATTGAATCTCTTTGATGCAGCTGAGAGAAGGATTTGTTCTCCCATTGCTACTGGCAGAGAAATTAATCTTCCTTTGTGTGGGTTTCAGAAACAATTGAAGGGGGTGGGCAGTTAGATCAGGATAAACAAATATTTCTTTTCACTTCCTATGCTTCCTGATGAGTAATGTTTTGTGCCTAGGCAACAGGAAATAGATCTGGGTCAGATTTGGAAGTAAGCAAAACATACACAAACACCATATGAACCTTCTCTCTAATCCTTTCCTCTCATTCTTCCATCTTATCAGAAGTTTCTTAGGAAAGAGGCAGTGCATCTTTGCTTGAAGTCTAAACTAATCTTTTTCAATGAACTTTTCAAATTAACATGGCCAACTTCGTAATATTAGGCTACATCCATAGAACCCGCTTTAAGGTATGATTGATACCAGCTATCTAAAATAAAATTGCAGTTCTTTTATGATTCTGAAATCTAATGTTTTCAACAAAATGTATACAGTTTTCTTTGGACTATGCAAAACAAGTTATTTTGAAACAACTGAGCTGTAAAATTTCATGAAATAACTGTACAAAATTAGCTTTTTTACATTTTAGAAGCATTCTGAGCTCACACAATGGTAGAAGCTTAGAAAAGATTACTTCCAATCGTGAATAGTTTCTGGAATGCTTCAGCTATTCATTTCATACTGAAAACAGAACATTTTATGAAATTCCACTCTTAAAATGTTTCAGAATGATTTTGTACTGTCCTAGTTCTGAATGTATTGGGACGAATCATAAATACATGGACAAGTTAAAAAAAGCAACTGTCAATGAGCATTAGCTTCCTCATAAATATGTTGGGCTAAATAAGGCAGTTTTTAAAAGATGGTGAAATATTGAAGTAATCTTTTGATCTGTTTTTCTTTTTGTTTCTCTCTGACTACTATTTCTATGAAATATACAGGTATTTGCTGATGCGCATCAGTTAAGATCTGTGCAGCTCTATCAAACTCCCCTGAGCATCAGCCCTGTACCCCATCAAGCCCTTAGCCGTACCCAGTCTTCACCTGCTAGCACTAGTCTGAAGAACAGTACACCTGAGCCTTTGGTCCATCACCTTTTCACTACAGGTAGGTGAACTTCTTTTCCCGGAGCTTGGAAGATGGGATAATTGTCTTGCTGGGCTGTTTAGAAAGTGCATCTCCTTCCCTGAAAATTTCTGTCTCAGATATGCAAGATATTCTGCATATGTTCTCTCCTTTATTATCACATCTAGTCCCTAGTGTCCAGGAACTAAATATTGTCTCTGCTTTATTCTTTACTTTAGGGCACAACACGATTATATCTTGAATCAGTTTGGTTCATTGAGAGAAGATTGCCAATTTGGTAGTTTTAACTGGAAAAGTCTTATTACTGTTTTATTTTACTTGATGAGGATTTAAGGCTTCTGTCAATCACAAAATTAGATGTTAATTTTAAATAAAATTAGATGTTAATCAGCATCAAAAGCATGTCGAAAGAAATACGTCTCTACATTCTTTCTTAAAGTTGCCAGAATATAGGCTAAATGTAACTCATAGTGGAATGTATTCCGAGCTAGGAACAATGGTATGCAAGTTTCTGACAAGAGATTTTTGCAAATATTAATAGCTAAGAGGTTCCTAACTGGAGGGGCAGTCCCTCAGATAATCAGACCTTAAGCCTTAGAATTTTAAAAGGCTTTAAAAATAGCACCTTCAGTGAATACTTGGAAACCACTGCAAATCATGTGATTTTGTCCAGGTTAGCGGTCTAGCTAATGCAAATGCTTTTTAAGATACTTGATTTCAGATACTTTTAATTAATGCATTATTTTTTTCAACTTCAGGGTCCTTCGTGGTTTGTTGGACAACCTGTTTGGTGTAGTAGTTAAGGTATCAGTTTAAAAACTAAGAGACCACAAGATCTGGTCCTGCTTTAGGCATAAAGCCACTTGTGTTACCTTGGACCAGACACGTTTCTTAGCCCTGGCAAGATAGCATTTCTGAAATCTTATCAGAAAAACCTTAAGAGTTCATCCATCTAGTTGCCAGGAGTCAACATTGACTTAAAAGCACAGGAAAAAAAGTGGTTTGTTGGCTGCTAGGTGCCAACTGAATAGGCAGGGTTAATGGGAAAAAAACCCAGGCATAATTTAAATTTACATTAAATCTCCTTATACGTTTTATTATTTTCACTTTTGTTGCATTTGGCTGCAGTCTTTGAAGACAGTACAGCCAGGGTGTGGGCTCAGGGATAGATTATGTATGCTAATGTATAGAATCTGTTTGAGAACCTCATCAAACTCACAGCAATTCTTAACAAATAAAAATAATGTGGTAGCCACAAGCTCCCACTTTGTCTAGAGAGAATGGTTAGTCATGTGTAAAAAAAGAGAGAGAGAGAAAGAGAAAAATCAGGATAGTAGAAGCCATGCTGGCTAGCTGATACAAATCAATCTTAGGAGTTTGCCTTTTTCTAAATTGTTCCTTTATAACTCAACATACCCATGATGTTAGTAATTTTAGCATGCCAACAGAATCCCAAATATGCCAGCTGTCCATAAAAGCCTGGACAGGATTTGGTTGCTTTTTATTTTTTCTTCCTTCCTTTCTGTGCTCCTTTCCCACCTTCTCACAGGTGTTGTTTATGACACGTTCATGCTGAAGCACCAATGTACATGTGGAAACACTAATGTTCACCCAGAACATGCTGGGAGGATCCAAAGTATTTGGTCCAGACTACAAGAGACAGGATTGCTAACCAAGTGCGAGGTAATCTCAAGAATGGAACTTTTTTGCCGGCAGCTGGTACGACAGCTTCCAAAGTCATGTTGAAAAAATAACTGCATTTGGAGAAATGATTTTACAGTGGAGGAAGGTTCATCCTGGAATATCCAAGCTTTGTGGCATCATAAAAAAAAAAAGAAATACAAAATAGATGAGTTTATAGATTATGAGTTTATAGATTAAATAGATTATCAGGCACTTGGTAGCGTTTATTGTGTTCCTTAAGTCCTAATAAATTTGCTAATCTTTAAATTCCTACAAGAATGTCCAATTTTGCTGCATCTTATTTGTTTTCGAAACATGCCATACAGAAAAGGGTTTTTTAAAAAAACAAAGATATGTAAAGCATACCCTTCAGTCTGTTATTTCCAGCACAAAAGAGAATAACCACAGTGGAACTCTGAAAACAAAAGCTACTCTGATTACATGTTACTATACTACACGTTCCAGCAGCCTTAGCCAGTTTGCTTGGTTTCGTGAAGTGCTGGAATTTTTGCTTCAGCAAACACATATAAGACCTCAGGTTTCCCTACCATAACCTGTAATACTTTGAGATTTCATAAAGTCAGGATTTCCTCAGCAAGGTCAGTGCATTCCAGGGGATGTCAACACTCTTGATACCTAGCATGAAAACAAATAGCCCATGTACAAATTGAAAGTTCATGTTCCTGCATGAAAAACAGTACCATATACCTCTTTCCTCACTGCTATTCCATTAATTTCAAGTACTATAGGTTACTTTGTTACATTTTTCATGCAGGAACGTGTATTGACTTTATAAAAGTGTTGACTCCCCTCCCCACCCCCCAGGGCTGATCATCAATTATGTACTGAACCTTCCTGGGGAAAGCATCTATGCAGTCTTTCGGTATCTGCCACATCGTCAAATTTAGCTGTGAGGGTGAGTCTTTCGTTGATTTATTTTCTTCCCATGCTTAAAATTAGTGGGGGTGCGGGGAAGGATAGTAAAAAATCTGTTTGAATACCAGATCATTGAACTCTCAGTAGAAAGTAGGTGGAATCCAGTGATATGAAGTGATTGGCCAAAGAGATAAGATTGTTTTAAGCTTAGTACTAATTTTTTTTATCAAACATGATCAGCTGTAGTATGTTTTGATATAAATTTAATCAGAAAATGAAGACCAGATGTATTAATTCACATCAGCATTGTACTAGACACATAGATCTTTAGTAGATCAGAATCATACAAGCCATTGTTTTCCCTGTGATACTCTATATAGAAACGAAAGTTGGATTTTGAAAAAGCAAGATAGGAAGTGTACACTTCCTTGACACTTTTAAACTTTGGCATTGGAGAAGACTTTGCAGTATCCTGTGGACAGCCAATAAATGGATCATTGAAAAAGAAACTTAGGGTTCTCACTTGAGATGCAAATGACCAAGTGGCGGGAAAGGCAAGAAGAGGACAAACATCAGGAAAATGGATAAATTTGGTTATGGAAGTAATGAGTCATTGGAAGACCCAAAGGATCAGGTTAGGGACAGTACATCATGGAGAAAATGTAATTGCTAAGAGTCAATGTCTCAATGTCTAGTAATTATTATAACTGTCAGATAACAATTGGGAAAACATTTCCAAAATATGAGATTCCAAACATAGCTGCTGTTTTGATCTGAATTGACATTGAACTTTGATATATATATATAGCTGTTTTATTAATTGTAACATTTTTCAATAATCCTAGTTTCACTCTAAAAAATAAGGCAGACAAACTGTTGATTGTGTCATATTCTTTGGGGAATTTTTTTTAAGAAGATTTATTCAGAGAAAGAACCAACAAATAAGGCAGATAAGAGATTAAACTGCTTTTATCAACTGATAAGGTCATTTGCTTTCCAGAAACTTGCATGAGTATTTTCTTTCTTGAATTTACCTTTGCTTTCATTGTTAATTCACACATTTCTCCAGGAAATTAGATTCAGCTACAACTACAGATATCCCCAATCTGGTCACTTCTCAGGTGTGCTGAGTTCAATTCCCAGATTTTTCAGCAAGTAGAAATTACATACATGGGATATTCTGGGAGTCGATGACCACACAGCTTAAATAAGAGGCTGAGATTGGGGAAGGCAAGTGAATGCTTTCCATACAGGTTTCAGGTACTGAAATCTGTCAAGTGGTGGTAATGAGCTCTAGAGATGAAAATATCTCTGGTAACAAGAGATGAAAATATCTTTGCCTGAAACTTTTGACTGTTGACAGTCAAAAAAAGTTGTATTTTGGCAAATGGATCAGTGATCTGACTTAATGCAAGGCAGTGTGAATGGTCTTACAGTTGTGGTAGAGAAATATCCCAAAGGTCATGCCACCATCAAAACACTTGTCAGGGGAAGGTTTCTGGCAAATATTTCCAAGAAAGCCATAAAGGAAATTCAGTTAAAGGAATGGCAATGCTTTTGCCTGTAAGAACCATACATTATATGTGTGTGCTACGTCACGGGTTTTATTCAAAAAATAAAGCCCAACCAGAATAGAAAAGCAACTCAAAAAAAGGAAGCCTTTGTTTTGAAGCCAGAACAAAGAATTCATTTTTCCATAAAATAATTTCATATTGAACAGTATTAAAGTGATCCTTGATTTTGTTTTTGAAAGAAAGCATTGAGCTTATAAATTTTGATTGCAATGTTGACATGGGCCCTAAGCCATTCATGAATACTCAGGCAGCGAAGAGGGGAAGTTGAAGATTTCTCCACCATTGTTAGCCTGAAATGAAATATTAGAAAGGCTGGAAAGAGAAAAGCTTAATAGATAAGCCAAATTTAGATATTTAGCTTGAAAATAATAAAAAATGAATAAACCTTACTATCAAAGCATGGACAAGTACAAGACATCCGTGTTAGTAAATGTAACTTAAGGAGAATCTAGTACTAGACTGGATTCTTGTTCAAAATCCTTTCAAAGTTCAATATTTCAAGTTTTCTGTCTAATGTCTTTACCCATTTTTTTTTTGTTACTTAGAGAATCCGAGGCCGGAAGGCAACATTGGATGAAATCCAGGCTGTCCATTCGGAACACCACACATTACTATATGGAACAAGCCCCTTGAACAGACAAAAACTTGACAACAAGAAATTACTAGGTAGGATATCTACCATTTTATATAGTTCTATTTTCATAATGCAAAATGTTGCTCCCCACTTCTCTTTAAAAATTTCAGAATGTACAGAATTTTGCTTTATTTGTGTGTATGCTTACAAGCAGAAAATATTAGAAAGGGCAGTCTGTAGGCCATCTTTTTAATATAATGTCTGGTAAAGTCTGTCTTTTCAAACTTCTGTATCAGATGGGAAAACTTTTGGTGGCAGGGGAATGTATTTTCCAGCATTGGGAGGTATGATGAGTAAGGCAATGATGCAAAACAAAGGGAGCATTTGCACCTAATGGGAAGAGTCCCAATTTTAGGGGAAATTAGATAGAAGCTAAGGGGAGGGGCTCTTTGATCTATGCCTGTTTATCTATTTTAGAGTTTAGGCTTTTTCAAAATTGGAATGTAAGGTTACCCAGTTGAATCCTGTATTGATAAAGATTATGATTTTGTTCTTTCAATGACAGTAACAATAGACACAAAAAATGTGAAAGAAATGAATTAATCTTATGTACAACGTAATTGGTATATATGTGGCATTCATACCCCCTTTTCCCTTCTTTGTTTCTCCTCTAAGGTCCCCTTAGTCAGAAGATGTATGCTGTCCTCCCGTGTGGTGGAATCGGGGTGAGTGAAATACAGTTGCCAGGGAAATCAGATGGCAGGAAATGAAAGCCTCCCATATTCTAGCTTAAAGCTTCATTTCTGCTATGCAATTTATTTAATTTCTGGGAATAGAGCTTCAAGTCAGTAGCAAGCAGATGTAGTTTTCATCTGTGATGGAGCATGACCCTGCTTGAGAGCCTGTAGAGCTGCAATATGAAACCCAGAGGATAAAAGATTGAGTTTGGTATAAGATGGTTCTCTATATTATGTTTTAATTGCATCTTCTTGATCTTTTCATGTGTCCTTGAACTGTACTGAAATGGCTCTAAAATCATTCCTTTTGGGTTTGTTGCTTCTTATCTTTATCCAACATGCTATTGAATGCCCACAAGAATCCTATATAGCAATTATCTATTGCTTGCAAGCAATAGATGAAGGGATGAATGAGGCCTCAGCTGCATCTCTCATTTATTTCTATTATTTTTTTAAATGGAATATATATCCTGTCTTTTTATCCAGCACTCAAGACATACAAATTGAAATACATACAAATTGAAATACAAATTATAAAATACAAAAATAAAAAGAATGTTAAAACTAGAGTAAAATTAAACATCAATATCATGAAATCAATTTTATTAACAATCTGCGGCACTGCAGTGGCTCAGCAATTAAGAAGCTGGGCTTATCAGCCACACGACAGGGTGAGCTCCCATCCTCGCCACAGCTCATGCCCACCTAAAGTTTGAAAGCATGGAAATGTGACTAGATAAATGGGTACCACTACGGTGGGAAGCTAACATTGCTCCGTGACATCATGCTGGCTACCTCAGACAGCGCTGGCTTAATGACCTTGAAACTGAGAAGAGCACTGCCACTATAGTTGGCAAGAACTAACAGAGTAAAATCCATAGGGACTCTAGTTAGCAATTTAGAAGCCTGTTGGAAAGGATGTATCTTTGTCACTTTCCTGAATCCTGTGTGCACTTATTCAAACGGTTTTATTTTTATTTTATTTATAAAATTATAGACCTCAAGGTAATTCTGGGTGGCTTGTTTGCTTAGGAAGATAAGCCCACAAAGGACTGTTCGTACACAAATCTCCTCATTACAACACCATTCCTATAACTTACCAAATAGCAAGTGGTTACTTCCCTCATCTCCTAAAGCCTTTCATAGATAGGACAAAATCTACTGCTCTGAGTGTGAAGTAATGGTTAAAGTGTTGGCCTAGAAATGAGGAAATCTCAATTCTTGTCCATGCTCAGTCACAGAAACTCACTGGATGACTTTGGGTCAATCACTCATCTAACCCCACCCCTTGCGGTGTTATTATGGAAAAAAATCAAAGGAACAAGTATTGTGTGTGAATTTCTAAACTAAAAGCAGGATGGAAATCAAAGAAGGGAATGATCAGGCTAACTTGGATGGATTTACTCTTTAGCTTCTACAACTCCTGTGATCTATGATAAACTTTCATGGCAGGTTGACAGTGACACAGTGTGGAATGAGATGCATTCATCCAGTGCAGTCCGAATGGCTGTTGGCTGTTTGCTGGAGCTGGCCTTTAAAGTGGCATCAGGGGAACTTAAGGTAAATTCTTCTTTGAATCCATTGACAGAAAGTGCATTAAAAGTAGTTGTGTGCTAAGCACAATGTAATCAACACGTTATTAAAGATACATGACTTTTTCATCCTTAGAATGGATATGCTATCATCCGACCACCAGGTCACCATGCAGAAGAATCTACTGCTATGTAAGTGTACACTAGAAAGTGAGGGGAAAATATCTACATTTAACTACTGCAAAATTAAAAAATGTTACATTTTCTAAAATACACTCTTTTGGGAAAGTGAAATAAGCAAAGATGCATTTTTAAAAAAGCTATTTTATGTGCCTTCTTCTCAAATGAAATTCCATCTCTTCCTTCTTGAGTAGAACTTCATATTTGATCTGTTAATAAAAAAATTATTTACTTACTCTACTTAGACATCCATAGCCCCAAATATGTTTGGAAAATGGATGTATAAAAGGTGATAAGATTAGAGGATTTTTTTTCATAGCATTCTGTAATGTAAGTAGCATTTTTAAAGGTCAAATAAGAATAGATGCTACATGGTATCAAACTGAAGTGCCATTGTTTCCTTTATTTAGTGGCAGGAGCATTCTAGGGTTTTAGGCAAGGCTTTATCCTAATACTAATTGGAGAGGTGAGATACTGAATCTACTACCTGTTAGAATCACTTAGAAAAACCCTCTACCTATGAGTTTATCCTTCATGAAATCTGGTTACCTGCTGTAATGGAGAATGTTGGGCTTAGGGAAGCCCTATTCCGGTAAAGTATGTCAATTATTATGCTACTTATCTATCCTGGTCCAATAATGTCCTTCTTCTTTATCATTTTATTTAGGGGCTTTTGCTTCTTCAACTCTGTTGCCATTGCTGCTAAGCTTCTACAACAAAAGCTTGCCATCAGTAAAATCCTCATTGTGGATTGGGTAAGGTGTTTTTTTTCCCCCCGCTTCTCTGGTCACTTACTCTCTTAGGTTAAAGAATTTTGCCTCTTTCTAACTGCCATCCCCTCAAACAGAATTTCATTCACATTTGAAAAGAAGGGAGGAATAAAACCAGAAAGCTTTCTTGTTATTCAGAGTCCATTGTCTGATATTCAAAATCTGATCTCTTGAGCATGAAATTCGCAGAGAATCACAGAAATTAAAAAAAAAACATATCAGAAGTGCTAGAGAACATTTCACTCAGGCTGCCATCAGTAGCGCCATCTTTAATGGAACAATAAGGTTCATCTTAGGGCTCTTTGTCCTACCTCATGGATTTCTTCTGAAGCTGTTCCTATATCAACTTTTAATGTCCTCTTTGGACATTATCTCTATCCTGACTTGGGCCTTATCTTAGGTAAGGTAGCATCAGCAACTTTTTCAGATGCTCAAATTCATCATAATGCTATTTTAATAGCCTAGATGTCATAGAACTTAACACATAGCACACTTCTGAGTCTTATGTGAGAATATGAATCTCCTATGAAATTTTGGCATTCATGTCTGAACTTTTCCAAATTATATGAAAACACCAACATCTTTTTTTTTATAAAAAAATTATTTGGGTTTTCGCAGAACATAATACAAGTAAAATTTCTTTTTTTGAGAATAGCATGGTCCTGGGTTATCACTTCTCCATACAGACACAAATTCAATTTCATATTCATCTTTGTGTTCTGTTCCATATCTTATTACTATTTTAACATTTTCTCAATAATTTTTCCCTTCCCTTAGTTTTCTCAATCTTACTTTTAATTATCTCATTCCTTTTAAAATTCAATTATATATTTCTTTTTCTAAGTTTCAGTACCTTTCTAGTCATCATATTTATACTTTGTCTGTCCTGTTTCAATTTCGTATTTTCTTTTCTCATTAAACAAAATTTTCCCCTTTAGTTACTAATTGGAATATTGTATTTTTTAATTTTTATCCATTCAACTCTTATTTAAACTTCAATTTATGCCTTTACAATTATAACATTCAATATAACACATAACTTCCAGTCGAATTCTGCTTGGTACATTCTTAAAATACGCACTAAGTTCTTAAAGAGAAAATATATATATAACAATAATAAATAAAATACTTATTCTATTCCAATTCAGCTCTATCATTAATTTTAGTTATAATCTTTAACATCCCTTTTCAATAGGATATCATACTTCTAGGAACACTTATAATATTTCCATAATTTTTCATGTTTCTTTCATATTCCTCTTCACTTAAATTTTTATAACACATTTATAATAATTAAAATGTTCCCCTCCTTTCCTAATTTCATTCTTCCATTCTCTTTATTTCATTTATTTATTAAACATTACATTACATTACAATGAGTATTTTATCTATCATTTTAATCACACTTGTTTCATATTTTCAAAGTTCATTTCTATTTGTAATATAACAATACTATCTTATGTACCCTTGCAGAATCCCCCTTTCAATTAAGTTTTCACCCATTATTTCTGTGTCTTGTACATTTTCACTGTTTCTCTATGTCCTGGTTCTGTCCTTTATAATTTCTTTTCCTTTCCCTCTTCTCCCTCTTCTTCTCCCTTCCCTTTTTGACCCCTTCTCTCTTTAATTCTGATTCTCTCTTCTGTAATCCTCTCTTCTGTTTCTTCCTAATGTTATAATTACTTTTCAAACTATTATTTTTTTGGATTGTTTTTTCGGATCTTAAATTTTTCACTCTCTTTCTCCCCTTTCCTTTCTTTTCCCAACATAGAAATATTTGGTCATTGAAGATGGCTTCTTCTTTGTCCCACCCTCCTTGTTCTACAGGCATTTCTTGTTGTTTCTCATAGTTCAGGATCTCCATTTCTAAAAATTGAAATACGAATCCAAAAGAACCTCTTCCTTCTTGTGCATCTTCTTTCTGTTTTTTTAAGTTCTATTCTCAATTCTTCCAAGAGTGATACCATTTTAAAAACTTTTAAACAACCACCTGGTTAGTTTTAGTCCTTTAGATCCAATAGCCAAAAATCCAAAAATCACCAAATAATCCAAATAATGCAAAGCTGTTTTTTCTTGCTTCTTTTTTCCACTTTCTCTTCCTAGGGTTCTTTTATCTTGTTACAAAGTTTCAGTTAAAATGTATCTTTTAGGAATCTTGTTAAAGTTTCACTGTTAATTCCTTTCACTTCCAGGTGGTCTCCTCCCTTTTTCCAGATCCCACCCTTTTGTTTTTTTCCTTCTTTTAAAAGTTTTTGAGAATCCAGAAATCTTTATTATCCCTTTGACATTTTATTTTCAGCTTAAATACCTGTTACTGTCAAAGTGGATTTTTGCCAATTTCTTGCTTAAATTTCTTAGTTGTCAATATAGGGAAGAAAAGAAAAAAAAACAAATCCTTTCCCCTCCCTCTCTCATTCGCAGCTTCAAAGTCTCCTTTGGGAACAATGTTGTTCTTTATAATTCAAATTCCAGGGTATTGTTGTTTTTCCAGTTCAATCCGGTCAGCCAAAAACTTTCTCTTCTTATCTTCCTCCTGCACATTATTTTCCGGTTGGATTCTTCTTTGAGGTGGCCATTTCTGACCACCACTGCAACCGCCTTCAGGAAAGGGAGTAATGACCAGCTGGGGAGGAGAGGTGTGGCTCTCCTCGACCCTGCTGGTAGTCTCCCCCCTCTTCACCACCTCCATGGGGGTGGCTTAGTCCCGAAACCAGCTGCTCGGGACGCTCCAGCGGCGAGCAGAGATTGAAACTGAACACAATCACAGATTTCGGTCTGTCACCGAAGAAGCTCAAACTGGATCTCGAAAACACCAACATCTTACGAGATTTGATGATTTTATGAGCTTACATAGGTGCATTTTAAAAAATTTAATGTCTCCCAATATAATTGAAGAGAGGTGTGAGTGTCTTGCTGCCTACATGCACCATGGTGCTTCTTCTACTTAAGTTCTACTTCGTGTTGATAGGATATCCATCATGGCAATGGAACCCAGCAGGCATTCTACAGCGACCCCAGTGTTCTGTACATTTCTCTCCATCGTTATGATAATGGAAATTTCTTCCCAGGCAGTGGAGCTCCTGAGGAGGTATGTGCATTCCTTTTTAAAAAAAACAAATAAATCTGATTTATAAAACAAGAAGTGCTAAAGGTGGAACCAGCTTGGAATCTGTAGGTTAAAAAACTAAAATATTTTTAATCCCAAAATATTTCAGAAATTGGAGTAGAGAAATAAAATTCCACCTTGAATTGGGTTCCAACTGTTTGCTTCAGTGAAGAAAAACACAAGAAGGAAAAAAAGGCAGGGTGTAATGAGAAGTAAATATGCACAGGTAATCCTTGACTTATGACCATAATTGAGCCCAAAATTTATGTTGCTAAGTGAGACATTTTTAAGTGAGTTTTGCTCCATTTTGCAACCTTCCTTGCCATAGTTGTTGAATCATTGCAGTTGCTAAGGTGAATCTGGTTTACCGATTGACTTTGCTTGTCAGAAGATCACAAAATTGGATCCCATGACTCTGCAACTGTCGTAAGTGTGAGTCAGTTGCCAACTGTCTGAATTTTGATCATGTGACCATGAGGATGCTGCAACTGTCGTAAATGTGAAAAGTGAGTCATAAGTCACTTTTTTAGTGATTGTAACTTTGAACAGTCACGAAATTAACTGTTGTAAGTCAAGGATTATCTGTATTGGGGGAAAAAACCAAAGCAAGCCTCCTCTATTCATACTATGTGATCTTGTAGTAGGGAGAGGAATTGCAGAAAAAAGAAATAAGAGGCTCGTCCAGTAGAAACTTTGAATCTGATAAAAAAGAACGAAGTCATTGATTTGTTTCTTGTTATGAAGATGGCAGAACTTTTGCACCATAGTGAAGCTTGGAAAGGAGAATGGCTGGCAGTTTTCCACTGACTGTTGTATTTGCAGAACAATATTGATAGGAAACAGATCTGCCATGCATTTCTTTACAAAGAAAAAATGGGAATGCTCTTCTGAAATTGAATCGGTCACAGTATAAACATAGTTCATGAAGATGGACTATACTAAGGAGATGGGTTTCCAGGAGGGAGGGGGTTTATTCCAGAGGAGTAAGAGGCAACTTGGTTCAGATGTTATACGTGATGGAAGAGAGCCCCTTCTTAGTAGTGTTCAGAGTATATTGTAGATGGAGTTAGTAGAGGCCTCAACCTGGCAAGATTTTCTCTGTATCTATGAAACAAAAACTCAACTTGGAAGAAACTGTATGTGTTATTCTTGGTTTGGGCCTGACATATTGGTCTCAATTAAACAACACCTCTGATATTGTATACAACAGAGTGTGAAAGAGAAAGAACATTGGTTATATAAAAAGTAGATATTTAAAGATTATGTATCAAAAACCCTGCTACATTTAAGAAAATTACATACAAAGTGTAATTTGGAAAACGTACAAAACATGTGAATTTTAATAAGATGTGAGTGAATTGCAAACTTTTTTTTAGATGTTCTTATCTTTAATATTTTTATAAATAACTCAGAGCATGGACATGCCCAATACTCCTTCTTCCTCCTAATTTTTGCACACCAACAAATCCTTGTGAGGTCAGTTAGGCTGAGAGATTGTATCTGGCCCAAAGTTATCCAAACAGCTTCCATACCGAAGGTGGGACTCATTTTCCTGGTTTCTAGCTTAATGCCTTATTCACTAGACAGTTTTAAAAAATAGTTTACCTAAAATATGTCATAATTGTTTGATACTTAAATGCTTGTAAAGTTTACCCAAGCCACATTTATACCAATCTGCCCACCCATTGCCATACTTTGAGATTAATCAGCAATTCTCCTATTATTGTTACTCACTTGAATCTGGTAACATGTGGGTCCCCTCACTGGGATTTATTCTTACATATCTTTCCCCCTCACACCTTGGCAGCTCTCAGCATGGCTGAGGGCTTTTGTAATCCACCATGTTCCTTTCTTCTAGGTTGGCAGTGGGATGGGTGTAGGTTACAATGTAAACATTGCCTGGACTGGTGGAGTGGATCCCCCTATTGGTGATGTGGAATATTTGACAGCCTTCAGGTAGGTTTGCAATCCACAATAAATAAGAATGTGTAAAGCTTGTGGCCCAACAGGGAATATTTTGGTAAGCCCAGAACATTCTGTTTTTCTCCTGGAAGGTGCCAAGGGGTGGCTTGTCATTTTCAAAGTAAAGGTTACATGACAATAGTGTCATAATACTGCCAAATGCATTTCTTCCTCTTTTTCTTTGTGGCAAAATTCTAGGAGACAAAATTTTCTTAGGTATTTTAACAACTGGATAGTCCAAGGCTTTTCCTAATGAGATGAGGGGACTACCTCTGCCTATTGGTATTGCAGGCTTCATAAATACTTTTTTATGGAGCATTGGTTTATTCATGTTATGCTTATGTTATGCTAAATCCAGGGGCACAGGATTTGCTTGTTGGTTTTGCTTTAGTAGACTAACACAGTTCCCACTCTAAAAATTGTTGGCTACAGTTAGGAGAAATTTTCTAATAGCCCATGATTGTTCTTCATCTCTGATTTCTAGCATTCAAGGCCAAAAGCCAGGCTGGTAATTCATTGTGGAAGTTAAAATTATGAACGATGCCAAATTGAGGAAGGCTTGTCTACAAATATGTAGCCAGTTTAAATAAGTGCATTGGAGAAAGTTACAAAGACTCAAATGGGAAAGCTAAAATGCCTGGAATTTTCCTAATCCATATATTGCAATTAATCCAGAATTAATGCTGTCCTGCCTCCTGTTCCTAAGAGTAATCTGAGAGCTGTTTTGTGTCCTCCAGGACTGTGGTGATGCCTATAGCCCACGAGTTCTCTCCAGATATGGTCCTTGTTTCTGCTGGCTTCGATGCTGTTGAGGGACACTTGTCCCCACTGGGTGGATATTCTGTCACAGCCAAATGTGAGTGTGAGGAACGTAGGGCAAGGTCCCTTTTAGTTTATAAATAGAGAAAACTATTCACAGACTAGTTGGGAAAGATAGGAATAGATTACCCTGTTAACTTCCACTATGGAGCTAAAGTAGTTTGTTTAAGATTTCAGTGTCTCCATAGGTTTCCTAACCTTAACAAAAGGCGTTTGTCAGATTAGAATTTCAAAAATGGTATGAATATAGGAGGATGTCTTATTGACAATAATTCAGCTATTTACTTTTTACAAGTGATAGCTTTTCTGACACACCTTTCCTTTATTGCAGTGCCAAGAAAAGCTTGGGTCTTTCCATGTTTTTAAATGATGCCACAATTGTTGGAGCTGCAGCTCTTTTTATCTAATGATTTTTCCATGGAGATAATTTATCACTACTTCCTTGATCTTTTGAAGTGTATGTCCCATACAAGCATTGTTAAAAACCCAAAGCACAGATAGTCCTGGGTAGTGCCTTAAAGACTATTTAGCCTACTTTCAGGTTCCAAGTAACTTGATCACCGTCTAAATGTTGAAGATAACTGTTTTTCATCAAAATAGACACCCTTGGCTTTCTTCCATTTGTAGCAAAGAGCAACGTAAAAGCTAACACAGAAATCACTAATTCATTTTCCTTCTTGATCATGTAGGTTTTGGGCACCTGACCAAACAACTGATGGATCTAGCAGATGGACGTGTTGTCCTAGCTTTAGAAGGGGGTCATGATCTGACTGCCATCTGTGATGCCTCTGAAGCCTGTGTCTCTGCCTTGCTTGGCATTGAGGTGAATACATGTAATACATAAAAGAGGGTGCTGGAAAAGTCTCAGTTGGGCTTGGAATGGAAACATCAAAAGATATTTATTTGTACCTGGCTTTATTATTTTATTTTTGCAAGTAATTCAAAGTGGTGACAATTGAGTGTCTTTCTATTTAAAACAAAGGTAGCTAAGTATTATTACAAGAAATAGTAATTTAGTATTAGTATTAAAGTCAAGACAAAAAATAATTGTTAAAGCCTTGCAAAATGCATCATCTTTAACAAATATTATGAATGCAGAGTGGGTATAGGTCCCATGTGCCAGGAAGCAAATCTCTAATAAGATATCTTTAAAAGGACTATCCTTTAGGAAAGAACATGTCTTTAACAAGAAGGCATTCACTTAGTTGACTCATGACATCTTTAATGTTGTTTACACAAGGGCCATCCTGAAATTGACAAAATATCTATTTTTGTATATAGGAAATGGATCAATATATGTAAGAAGGCTTCTAATAATCAGGGGTAGAGAAAAAAATGAATGAGCTATGAAAATGGATAGGAGGGAAAATGCAGATATCTTTTAGATATATGTGCAGAATTTATGAGATATAAACATATCAGAAGAAGTGTATGGGGAGAAATAAAGACATTAAAGCAAAATAAATAATTTTATTTTCTTACAAAATCTAATATCCTCTAATAGTCCCGAATTCTTCATTTATATAAAGTATTTCTTAAGGTAGTTTTTGATCCTGTATCCAGGACCAAATCCAGAAGCCTCATGAAGCAGTTGTAGCCTTCTTCGCTTAATTCAAGCCAGGTACAAATGTGCAAGGGTTCTCTCAAAACCAGTTACAACTCAAAAGGGGATAAAACAGGAATATATTTTAGTATCTCTGCTTATCAGCTTCTATATCAAGGGCATATCCAAATGATCCAAATTTCCATCCTCCTAAACTGTGGGATCACAGCATTTCCCTGCTGTTCTATGCAGACAACCAATTGTGGTTATTCCTAGACCAACAGACTCAAAAGAGCTCTGGGAATTTTCATCCATATTACAGTAATGAAAATCTGAAAATAAGCTACCAGAAAACCAAGATTATGGCTTTTGCCAAAAGGTCAAAGCTCCGTTTATGGAGCATTAATGGCCACAAAATAGAACAAGTGACTGGCTTTTTAAGTATTTAGGAGTAGTCATGCATGCCACTGGCTTGAGGAGAGCCCACTGCAAATGTGACACTGCTATTGGACAAAGATCTGCCAATGCCATCCTTAAATTGTTCCGATCCAAGGGAAGATAGTATGTTCCAGCCACACTCAAACTTTTTCAGGCTAAGCCTCGAGCCCAGTTCCTTTATGGGACTTTGGTTGACTCCCCCCGGCCCATGGCTTTGTGTTTCACCTCTCTGGAAAGGGTACAATCTAAATTCATCAGAACAGCTCTCCAGATACCATGCTGTGTGTGTGTGTCCCAAATGCACACCTATGAGAGGAGACAGAGTCCAGAGTGCATCTGTAAACCTTTTATCAAAGTCAGCTTCTTTCTCTTAGCACCATTAATCTTCAGGGGGAAAAAACCCAACCTATATGAATCAAGGCTGTGGATTTTAACATTTCAAATTTAGTCTATTCTCCCTCCACAGTTCTTAAAATGGAACATGATCAGGCAAAACAATCCTTGAAGCAAATGTTAAAGAATACAGAGAGGCAAGCTGATCTAGGGAAAGATCCAACTTTCCTATCAGCGAGGTAACAGTAACAATATATTGGTGTTGGACTGTTCAAAAAGCTTTCTCTCGTGGCCAATGCTGTGTTCTCCCCTCTGCAGTATTGAATTGTAAATACAAAAAAAAAAATCCATTGCCTGAAAAGTTTTGCCCCATTGATACCAGAGAGGTAGAAACTATAGAACACGTCCTTCCATGATTCTCCTTTGATGGAAACATCCAAACTAGATTCATACTTTCTTTGGTCAGTAGATATCCTGGAATTCAGCCTATGCCTGAATGCATTTATAACATATATGAAACAATATGGCTTTCAGAAATACGATTTTCAGCTGCAAAATAATAAAGACTTGATGAATTGTATGTATATACAAGTATTAGAGGCAGAGCACAAGAAGACATGGAAATTGTTATATTTAAACATGGGTATCTTATTATTAAATATAATCATACAAATAAAACACAAATGTCAATCAATTCTAAATAGAAACAAAGGTCATAAATTCACAATATTAAATGGATGGAATGGTACATGAAGGCTTTGTGGGAAACAGACCTAGAACTGTTTTGGCTTTTTTTGTCACCATTTCCCCAATTATTTTCACGTGCTCCTTTTGTCTTGGGCTCCCATTTATTTGAACTATTTATCTTTTCTTATGACTTCTATCCAGACTGGAGATCAAAAAACTAAACTCAAGTTTCCTTTGTTGCAGCTGGAACAGTTGGATCAAGCTCTGTTGCAACAAAAACCTAATTCAAATGCCATAGCTACATTGGAGAATGTCATTGAAATCCAGAGTAAGTTTTTGGGGCATGCTTTTGGCTTCATGTTGCATTTTCTAATGGAAAAAAGAGATTTGTTAAAGAAAAGCTTGAACTGGTGATTTATTCTACATCCAGGATAGGGTTATAGCTGTGTAATATGCAGCAACGCTTATTAATCTTTCTAGCTTTAAGTAATGTAGATTTTAATTCCCAGAATTCCCTAGTCAACATGTTGGTATGAAGAACAGGGACTGACAATATGCTTGTAAGGGGCAGGTTGCCCTTTATGTTCAACAGGGCATCTGCAATATTCTCAACTAACCTAAAATTAATGTTGCAAAAAAATAGTAATATAAAATAAAAACCTTCAACATTTTAATATATGTGGGGTTGTGGGCCGGGATGCTACCACCTAATTCAGAGCCATAACATTTAGGGTTTAAACATGGCTCAGTAGCCATTCAGTTCAATTCCCTAGAAACATCAGCTACAGTAGCCCAAACAAATGGCCTTCCAGCATCTCCTTCAAATACTAGAGAAGTCCACGATCTTTTGAAGCAGTAGTTTAGATGTTTCTCTGAATTTTAGTACAAATCCTCTTGCTTGCACCACCCCATTGTCCTAGTCCTGCTTTCTCGTGCATCAGATTTGTTTTGCTACTTTTCCAGCAATCTTTAGATACTAGAGGAGAGCACGCCCGAAATCCCTCATCTCTAAGCTATACTTAACTGGCTAGTTCTAACTTTGTAGTCCTATTCAAGATTTGTTAGGGATGCTAGTCATTTATTTTAATTAATCTCTTTAATCATGACCATAGCAAGTGGTTGATTATAGGCCTGATTATACTAAGATGTGTTCCTATAAAGATCCCAAAGGTGTAATTTCATTGATAGTGTGATAGGTTTGGAAACAGTAGACAAGTCGACAAGGCTGGAATTCAACCAAGTACTAGAATTTCTAACCTAATGCTTGGCAATTGTATCACAGGCAAACACTGGAATTCAGTGAAAAGTTCTGCAGCAATTGTTGGCTGCTCGTTGCTGGAGGCGCAGAAGGGAGAAGCAGAAGAAGCGGAGACCGTCAATGCGATGGCATCACTGTCAGTGGACACAGAGCAGGGAAAAGCAGACTGTGGTGTCCGGTAGGTTCATTTCAGGAGATGGCAAGTGTCTGTTTGTGAGGGGGGTTTCGTTTTGAAGGTCTAATCTGCCTGACAGGTTGCCCCAACACCATGTGTACCACTGTTTCTGGAGGGCAGGAATTACTTCTGCATGCCCAGATCCACTAGGAAGAGGAGCACTGCCTGTCTTTTCATGCTTTGCATTAACCAATGTTGCCGAGATTGAGAGATACTGTCTTAGTCTTTATAGTGTGGTGTGTGGGTCCTTCAATTTGTCAGAAATTAGGATGAGTACACAAGTAGTGGTCAAAGCCCATCTGGAAGGTGCTAGGTCTAGCCTAACTGTCATTGGGCCACACCTCCACCCAGAACAAAGTCCTTGAATTGAACTAACAATTCAAAGTAGTTGTAGTGGCCCCTGCTACTAATCAGAGCAGCCCTTGAAAATTCTTTCAGCACAGCCAATAGCTGTGTTAACTCCGCAACAGAGAAAGACCATTAATCGCCATCTCTTTTTGCCCCTTCTTCCTACAGATCAGTAGAAGAGCCAATGGAGGCTGAACCAGTGTTGTGAAGTGCCAAGACTTCAATTTCTGTAGCTGTCACTCTGTGGGTTTAATTGATCATTTGTGAGTTCGTTAAAACAACAACAAAATTATTATTTTTTATCTATTAAAAAGAAAAAAAAAGGAAAAAAAAGAGTTGCACTGGACAAAATGAGCCTCTGTGTGTGTGCGTAATCGCGTCAGTCTCCAAGCATTTGTTCTCACCAGCATCACCATTTTGTCCTGACTCTTTGGAGATTTGTGAAGGAACTTGGTAAGGGGGCTTTTCACATGGACATCTCCATTATTCCCTTTTCAGATGTCATTCCCTCCCCCCATTCCTTCCTCCATTGGACACTAAACCTGTCCCCTTTTTTAGGACTGGAAAAGCCGTTTTGCTTTTTGAGGAGAAAAAAATACTTTCTATCTCTTTGTCTCTCATACCTACAGTTAAGTAAGAAGTGTCAAAGAAGTGTATTTTTCCTCAATAATTTTTTTCCAGTGTACACTTGGATCCTAAATAGTTATTCAGAATCTTGAATCTGGATGCCAGATTCTGCGCAAGGAATTGTTGGTTTTAATGATCTTATTGGTCATCTCCAACTCTTGTAATTCAATTTCATTATCTCTTTCCTCTTCTACATAGGTGAATATATAATTTTTCCTCCTTCATTTGTTTGGAATGAAAGAGAAATGGATTGCAGACTGAACTAAGGGACCCACAGATGCCTCTTGCATTTTAGAGTCTAGAACAGGAGAATTTTCCTATGCAGTACGGAGCCCCAGAGGTTCTACTATCCTAGGCAAGCCATCCATATTTACAGTTTGCATTGAGCCAGACTTGCCCACTTCACCCTTTTCCTAAATCTGACCCTGAAAAAGCATTCCTCTCTCCTGGGTTGTTTGCAAAATGAATTGGGGTTGAAAATCCCTCCCCTGGCCCTGAATTTTCAAATGCCTTTTCCCCCGACTTTGCCATTTTTAATGTTTTCATTCTCTTTCCTATCCCCAAAATAGATTCATAAATATTTGGATTTAATGCTACCTTTGTTGCCTAAATCTCTATTCATCTCAGCACTAAGCTGTTCCTCAATTTATATAGTTCTGGTTAAAGCTCTAGAAAAAGCTCCCAAGGTAGGGAGAAAGGGGAAAAAGTGTGCCTTTAAGTCATTTTTGTTAATGCCTTAATTTCTTTGTAAGTTCATTTTTACACCATCCCTCCTCAGTCCTATCCCTTTTTCGTTTGCCATCTAGTTAACAATTATCCTACATAAAGACAGAAAGGAATCACATATATATCCCCAGCCTCAATGCATGTTTTGGCCCTGATCCTGTACCAGGCATGTTCAAAGAAATCATGAATATCTCACCAGCCTGGGGATCGTTGTGGATGAGCATTAACTCACTTCCAACACAGTACAGTTCTGTGTGACTGCATTATCACTCAGCTGTGCTTTGATTTGCACATCTGAATTACAGTATATGTCCTGTTTATGCCTGCAGTTCTCAATCTGTCAACCGATATATGCGATATATGCGTGCAAGCCTATTTACAAAGGACCTCCTTGGTTGGATCACTCTGTGTGTCATAAAATCCTTTTTGTAACAAAAGTTTTGCATATGTAGACTGTTTCATGACCAATGCTTTGACATTCTTTCTTTTCGCTATTTTTCTTCCTCCTCCAACTCTGTCATTGTTTGAAAGACTCCTTGTCATTTATTGTAAATAATTTGATTTCTTGTATCACTTGTAAAAACTCTGTTTTGATGAAAGTTTGTCCATTCATAAAGAAAAAACAAAGCAAAAGAAAAAGGAGAGAATTCTTTGCTGTTACTTCACCAGCCAAAAAGAGGGGGAAAATAGAAACAGAGCAATTTTAGCTTTTAAAAGAAATGGATATAAAGAAAAAAGGTATATAATTTTATTACAGATGTATTATTTAATAGTATTTTTTTAACTCGTACCAACTCTCCTTTCCTTTGGAAAGTTGATAGCAGGGATAATGAAACAAAGGAAAAGGTGGGGCTTGATACTGTTTTCACTAACCAGGGCTGTGGGATTTCTAAGTTGTGTGTGGGAGGGGGAGGCACTGGGAGGGGATAATTGTGTAGAATGTAAGGCTGTGACATTTTTAGCTGCACGTATGGAAACCTTGCCAGGGTCTATTTTAAGGATTCCTGCATTTGTTCAGGTTTAGTCCTCCCAAATGTTCCATGGTGTGCATGTGTGAGTGATACTTCTTTCCAGATTTTCCTATAATTATTCTTATAGTTATGATGAGTGGAATGTCGTGTCTTGACAGTGCTATGTTCTGTTTTCTTTCCTGTTTTTCCTTCTGTGGCAATGAAAACCACTGTTTCAATACCATCTGTTGCCCTGGTTTATCAAACAGTGCATGCCTGAAGATAGCTTCTTTTCATCACCACATTAGCCAAAAGCTTTCTGCTTGGGGAGAGATATAAGGAGGATTGGAGACTTCCCCCATCAACTTGGTAATGCACACTTTGTCCCACCAAGATCTACTTGTGGCAGCCTAAATACTGCTAGGTACTGTAATGTACTTCTTCCTCGTGCTATGATTTGGATATTTAAAAGTATCATGATCAAACTGGACCATTCAATACAGAAGGCATCGTTGTTCCTTATCATTTAGCTCTTACCATTTCTGAATTTCATTACTTTTTTTAAAAAAAAATTAATATCTACAAATGTATATTTAGAACTGAGGAGTAGTAAGGAAAATCAAGTTTCATGTGAAATGAGAAGCAGTACATTATATATTTGCTAGGAAAGGTATCTTGGTGATGTAGAGTATCAGTACCACCTGTAGCGTTAATTACAGCAGCCTTTTGGGTATTCTTCAGATGTGTTGGAACTTCCGTTTCTATCTTCTGTAGACTAGAGGGACATCAGGCTCAGAATGGGCAACGTTATGGTATGTCATCATTCTCAGATGGGCCTGCCTGCCCACCTTTCTCCACCCCACCCTAAATGGGAAAGCATCAAAACAAATATGGTTTCTAATGATAGAAAACCAGAAGACTTGAGTAGGATACACCACCACTGTTCCTCCATATCATCTCTCTAATTCAGTAGCCTTCTGCTTATGCTAACACAACTAAAGCAAGTGCCTTTGCCATTCACGCAGTGACTCAGTTCACACATTGTAGTAAGTTGTATTCTGGTGTATTTGCTCTTGGTTGAATGCAGTGTACGAACAAGACATTGTGGTTTGTAAACTGTGATTCATAGTTATAGCGGAGATGAGCAACTTTTCAAATGCTCAAAAAGTAGCTGTCATTTTGCATCTAAACGTGTCTTTATGCTTCGCTAAATATGGAGCACTGACTAGGTGTAACTTAGTAATGATTTTTAAAAAAAAAAAAACTGGGACTTTCAGATGTATATAACTGTTCTCATAATCCTTCAGCCAACATGGCTTGGCTATTATCAGAACTGAAATCCAGCATGTTTGGAAGGCACCAGACTGGGAAAGGCCATTCTGATAAGAGGGGAATGATTGCTAGGTCAGATGGTCTGCTGTGGCTCTTATCCAATTGTCCAAAGCTACTCATCTGCAGTGCCAGCCATTCCATCCCATAATTTCATATCTGATTCCTTGACGTGAGAGATTGCACTTACATTCTGTGTGGAAGTTTCTTCAAACTCTAAAATGACAATTTTCTTCTTGGGCAAGTTGAGATATTGTCTACCTTCAAAGAGGGCCAAATATTTTGTCTATGGATTTCATTACAATAAGTTGAAAAAAATAAATCAGCACAATCCTATGCATGTCTATAGAGAAGGAAAACATTGTTGAATTAAATAGGACTTACTCACCAGTAAATGTAAGCGGAATTGTAACCCAAATTGTAGTGAAAACAATATATAACCCAGTTAGGCATCATCCCAGTAAGTATTTTGAATTTTCAAGGTAGCTCATTGGCTTGACACAGATAATGTTCATAGAAGGCATTTCTATGGTTCTCTAAGTAATGTTCTCTGACATGAGAAATTTTGGGCTTCTGAACGTTGTTGGATTCCAGCTATAGCTCCAGCCGCCAAGGATAATTTGAGACAGAAATCCTATGAGTTCTAAGCCTGAAAAAGACCAAAGCTGATGGGACTTGAAGCATCGACTCTCTGGAAGATTTCCTTTCTATTATAGAGTGAACTACTTTAAAATAATGATACTTGTCCTCTTTGTCCATACAGGAGATGCAGATATTTCCTTTATTTGTACATTCATGTATACATCTTAACAAGTGTTGCTGCATTTGATTTATGGGTGTTATGCAGTCCTAGAGATTTGCAGAAGGCTGATTGCTGGCTTCTGGCTGTATGCCCACTCCTACATAAGGCCTAGTACCATCAGGCTCCCATTTGTGCGTGCCATGGTGTAACCCATGAACTTGTGTGTGCATTACCAGGATTGTTGGAAATAGTCTCTCACCCTAGAATATACTGCAGGCTTTTCAATGTCCATTAAATCAATTTCTATACAAATGCAGCTTACATTCAGTGGGCCAAGCTAATTATCCAGTGGCATAGGTATAAAAATATATTACTCTCCAGTACCATTTTTTCACTTAACAGATTCATAATCATGATAAATTACACAAAAACTCTACCACTGCAAGTATACAAATCACTCCACCTAAAGTAAAAAAGACTAGAGCTAAGTATATTCATGTATTTTATAAAACTTATAACTGGGAAATGGTGGTTCCACTTTTAGATTTTGTTACATCTACATTCGTTTCTACCACCTCTTTGTTTATGTGAGGTGGGGACAAGAAAACCTCCGTGAACCATTGTTTTCATATTTTTCATCTTGAGGTCTTTTTGGGGGGGGTGGAGGGGTTGGGAGGAGGGAGAAAGAAACAAAGAGTAGCAACTACTTTTGAAAAGCCATTAGTCCTTAGGACACCAGCATTGAACAACTTTGTGCTACAGATCCAATTTCACACAGTATTAAACTGTCATAGGGATGGTTATCATTGAGAGGAATTAAGACTTTTGTCTTTTTCCTCCCTTCTAAATCCCCCACCCATGATATGGCAAGATGCCCCACATGTGGACAATATCTGTAGATTTTTTTTTCCTGCTTTCTGTCTCGCTCTGAATACAATTTTCAGTTGACTATTTTGTAAGATGTTGCAATGTTTGTCCTTGTGTAAATAAAATTGTTTCTGGCAATATTCTGTGGTAAAAATCAATGTGTGGAGCTACCTTGCTTTCACTCCCCCGCCCCTTCCTTTTTTGATGTGTATATAATCTTTAGTTTTCTGACTTGCTGAACCCCAATGGAAAAAAATTCTAACATGTCTGCAGTATCCTGAGCCACTTTTAAGATGTATGGAGTTCAACTCCCAGAATTCCCTCAGCCAATCTTATGAGTTGTCCTTTATTATCCCAAAGTACATACAAATTCCAGGTATTTTATTCTTGGTGTGTAAAATCTTTCAAATGCAACAACAGGAGATCAATGATGACATTCTGCTGTTCCACTCCATGTGTGATATTGAGGCAATAAGGCTATAATATAAGATACCACCTGTATAACCATGAATTAGTATCTCTCATTTGTGGCAGCTATATGAGTATTTTATAGTTATTATGATAAAGCCCCAACCTCACAAATAAACATGCAGAGCACTGATTGCCCATATAGTGCATAGGCTTTTTCAACGGTGCTGTATTTTTGTTCTCGGAGAGCTTCTCTGAAAGGTGGATCACAGGATGGTCCATTCTTTCATGACTTTGGGTGAAAGTATCTATTTGTAGAACAAAGGGTTAGGAAAAATCCACCCTTTTATATACTACTGTGTTCCCACACACAACATCGTTTATCAAACGTCTCCTGGCATTCTTTGGTTCCCATCACTCTTGGGGGGGTTCTGTCTTTGTTAGATCCACAAAGGGTTGAGCCACAATAGAAAAATGAGGTATGAATTTTTGATAATACTTCACTACTCTTTAATTGTGTAGGGACCCTGCCGCTTAGTCTGTAATTTGCTTTCTTTAATAGGCAATAGCAATGGAACTTGGTCTTCTGCATTAAACTCCTTTGACTTTAACCCCTTATCATGGTGTCCCTTCTGTCCTTCCTTGTTTATTTCTAAATGTTTCTGGGCAATGTGTCCCAGGGCTTTTAACTTATTCCTCTGCATTAATATATACATATATTCTATTACATTCTAAAAGCTTTCCAGGTTTTCATCCCAGCCTTAATAATGTCCAAAACTGTTCAAATAAGCTAAATCCCATGGGTGCCTGAGGAATTACCTACTATACTAAGGTTATTGACAGCTTCTCAGCTATTTTTGTGATTGTCACATTTCTTAAAGGAACTGCTTAATGACAAACAACTAGGGTATATTCAGTGCCTATATTGGATTGTGGAGGAGGTCCTATAATGTCCATGATTATTATTTTTTTTAAAGAAACTGGGATTAAAGACATTCTCCACTGGAAATGTATTATGTTCCCCTTTTGGTTAAAGTAATTGACAAACGTAGGATCTACATGTTATATCTTTACAAATATATCTAATATTTTGAATGTGTCCTATTTCTCCCCAAATATCCAGACCATGGATTTTCATGGGCTAGTTCCAATATAGCCATGCAACATTCCTGATGAACTACTATTTGATTTGCTCCTTGTATATGAATATAGTCTAATCTGAAACAGCTGATTGTAACAACTATGGGTTGTAATATTGGCCCCTTTAATGGCTGGTCTATCTAGCACAAGTAGATAACTGTCTTTACCAAAGTATGTCTAAGGGGAGTCGGCCCCTTCTGCCTTTTCTAGCTCTCTTTGTTTGGGGTAGGCTCTAGGGAGACTCTTGTTTCTTTAGCCAGGATGTTGGCTATTACCAGCAAAGTCCAAGCTCTGCAAGGGTGAAACTTCCTTTTGTCGCTAAGGTTTATTTTCATATTTAGTGAATTCCTTGCGTCTGAGTCAATCCCACCTATCTGGATGCCATCTGTATAGTTATTCCTACTTGTTCTAGATATCCCATCTTTTTTATACTGCTTTATCAAATTATTTTAACCATGCTCAGTTTGATGGGCTCAGGACACAAACAAGCCCACAACTCAGTTTCTAGAGAACACACATAAGCACTTGCATATTCACATACTATTACTCTTCTCCCTAGCTACTCATACTATTCCTACCATTAGTCCTTGTGAGTACTCCTAACAAAAATAGCTCCTGCTAGCTACTTCTAGGTTGCTTTACGTCCACCCACAAACACATACACCCTTTCTCCCACATCCAGCTGTTTCACAGCAAAACTTTTATGGGCAACTTTGTGTGCTGATGCTTGTGAAAGGAGTTAACTGATTAAGTGATTAAAATGTATAATGCTGATTTACCAGGGCACGTTCCAGGCAAAATGCTAAGAAAAAATACATAATCCTAGCAGTATTGTATATTGTAAGTACAGCACCACATTAGGCTGCAAATCTATACACAATTACCTAGAAATAAGGCCAATCAAGTGCTTACTTCTGAGTAGATATGCATAGGTTTGTTGTTAATAGGAAGAATCCAGGAATCTTAATCTAATTACTTTCTGATTATTATTATTAATTATTATTAAATTGCAAGCCATCTTGTGATTCAAGGCAACTGAGTGGCCTGCGGTGAGATAAAATATACAAATATCCAGGCAATTATAAAGATGGATTAAAATTACTAAAAATTAAAACAAACTAAAAAAAACCCTGGGTTTTGAGAGAAGTGGAGTGCCTTCTCTGTTAGTGCACTGACCACCAACTGTTTTTCTTTCAGGACTGCACGCCAGGCAGCATAACCAAGTTTTAAGACTTTTCCTTAAGGCTAAATGGGAGGGGGAAAGATCTTATTTTCAATGACAAGATATTCCAAAGGGCAGGGCCGTGGCAATAAAGGCTTTTCTCCTGTATCCCACCTGCTGAACTCCCTTAACTCATGGGGTTTGCAGTATGTCTCTTCTGCCAGTGTGAGTGGAATGGTCCAATTCCATTGGGAAAGACAGTTTCTGCAGATATCCAGGAGCCATGCTAAAAAGGATAAAAGTAATAACCAACACTTTGAGTTGTATCCAGAGGCAGACTGGCAGACAGTGCAGTGTTACAGTGGTGTTACATATGCCACCTTGGAGCCTCCAAAACTATATATGCCTCTGCATTTTGGACCAACTGTAGCTACTGAATACTTTTCAGGAGTAGCCCCATCCCCATGTAGAACACATTGCAATAATGCAAGTGAAAGATGACAAGGGCCTGAGTGACTGAGCATATGGCCTCAGGTTCCAGGAAACACACGTTGTGTGAAGGCTCTCATTTTATCCTGAATGGTCTGCAACCTGCTTCTAGAAGTGTCACATGTAAATGATTATTGCTAATATTCCTCAATAATCAATGGTATTTTCTGAACCTGACTTTTAGATGGTGACTCATGGGCAGAAACAGGCTTATGCTACAAATAATTTTATAGTGGTGTGTACTACATTCGGTAGTAGTGGATTCATTGGTTAGCAATGTACTACTATGTGACATTGAAGCATTTCTTCTCCGTCCTGTTCAAAAGTTCTAAATTGGATCACTGTGTTCTCTTAGATACAAGAAGTAGTTAATGCTCACAGAGATTTCAATGGAATCTAGCTATTTTCAGAAACAAAAAGAGAACAGTCTGTAAAACATAATTACAGAAATTAGGGACAAAATGTTGCAATATTCCTTCTCCCAAAATGTGTAGTTTTATTCCAGAATAATATCTAAGAAGCACAGTAACAAAAGTATATGGTTCACAAATGGGACCAGCCACAAATAACTGCATTACGGAGTATTTTATTTAGGATGAAAAGCAACTGTGCCTTCTCTTTGAAAATACCACTACTTTGCTGCAGCCTATTAGGTTGTACAATGAAGTAAGCATTCTGTGAAGGCCACATCACAGAGTATTGTGTAATTTCAGAGTGTGTGTTTTTTTTCTGCCAACCGTGGAGACTTTTAGGTCTGAAGATATTGTCCTTCTGTACATGGATGGATAGAGCCATGCTGAGTGCAAGTTATCTCGTAAGAAGACTGATAAAGGGCTACATAAGTGATCCTGCTTACTGCAATAACTTTTAAAAATAAACATACTTAAAGACTGTTCACAAAGTAGTGCAAATAAGAGGTGTTCTCATCTCTTTGATAATCATAAACTTTTAATTGTGTTGTTTCCTTCATTTTCATGAACATCAGAGAGATGGTGGGTAAAATGCAACTTCATTTGTGGAAATATCCACCTAATAGAGGTTTATTAAATATCATACCAAAGTATAAAATAAACACACATTAGCTACTGTGCATGGAATTAATCATAAACATACACATTGTAACACCAATTGAAAATATCAACTTGAACATCTTAATTTACCACAACATCTTTTTAAACATTGCAAATCAGCTATGGAATACCCTGAGATTATATTTCTCCATTGTTTGGTGGGCAGTTCTGCCCTGAATCAAGTATGCCAGTGCAATTATCATTTTCAATACCATCTGCTTGATTGTAGTACAAAACACACATGTGGTAAGGAGACAGATCACTCTAAGAGGAAGGAGCGATTCTATTATGCCTTTTCTAAAAGGAGAGGTCTCTTTATTAATCTTACTAATCTGAAAGGCAAAAGTACTGCTAAACTTAAATTAAATTATAGGATAGACAAAAAAATCAGTTAACATGGTTGGATGATTAGAATGGTTTGACAATGGACTTGAATGATTTGGAAGGGGATGGCTAGGATCTACCAGAAAATGTTGGACAAGCATATTTGGACACTGTTGTAGCTCTGGATTCCAATACAAAGCCCTTCCAATACTTCACAGATTTAAAAGGATTAATTTCTTCCTGAATAATTGCATGCTGTTCTATGGACATGGGATGTTATTATTCATATAGTAACCATTTTGAGGATCCATGCTCACATAAATCAGGAAAACATTGCAACTCAATTCCAGAAATCAGCAGAATATTTAGGAAGAGAATGCTTGGCCCTTCCAAAAAAGCTCTTTCCTGACGCTAACTCATAATGAAACAGTCATCTTTAGAAAAATTGACAGCTTGTCAAGTGGCCATTTTTGCTCTAGAAAGAATTTATCAGTCAGAAAAAAATGTAACACGGCATCTTTGTCTTGAAATCTTTGGGCTATAGAACTACATAAGGACACGTGCCTTCAACAGGGACATTTCTAATTGCATCAAACAATGGTGAACTTTGATATACATGAAAAAACAGTTTCTACCTCATTTTGGTAAAACAGCTACTTTATGCTGGTCAATGATAGGACTTTGATCTCAAGCTATTGGCCAAACTAAGTTAAGACAGAGCTCTTAGAATTAGAGGAAGTTGCCCTATACAAAATCAAATTACCAAACTATGTAATTTTTTCATTGATTTTACTGGAGAACTTTCTCTAGCCCTCTGAAGACTGAACCTGAGATCTTCCAGATGTGCCCTGCAGGTTGAATTTCATGTTAAAATTTTATGATCTTGTGGGGCCGTATAACTAAATGTCCAGAACCGCATGTGGCCAATGGACTATGGGTTGGACACAGCCAAAGGACAAAGAACAAATATTTCAAGGAAAAACTAGCTATTCTGGGTGAGATGGAGTTCCTGGAGAGGCCAGTTTTTGAACCGCTTTGGGAAGTAATGAAATTACTATCCACGGGAAACTGGCATACTTTACAAAATTCAGCCCATACCACAAAGCCACACCTTGTGGCTGGGCAATACTACTTAGGAAGTACAGGGTGACAAGAGACAGGACAGCACACCATCCCCTCTGAAGCCAACCAAGTTTCTCCAGCTTCAATTCGGTATAGGATGAAGAGTGGAAGGCCAATCCCAGTCCAAGGACCGTGGCTGTATCACGACATAGGGAAGCAAATGGGTAGGTGTCCATGCGGATCCACTTGGGATTTTCACACCACTTTGCAGCAAGTTTCATTGACCTAAAGAAGAAGAGAAAGTAAAATGAAGAGGCAAATAAAATTTATCTTTTTCTAATCAATTCCATAGGAGGAAAAAGTTGAAATCTGAGTATTTCTAGAATCTCTTTGAATCTACTATAAAATGTGGTACCCATGGGTAAACCAGATTTTTCTTTTTAGAAGTGAATTCCTACAAACATTTAAGTCAACATTCCTTTGTTATGTGAATATGCCTGGTATTTGGTGGGAGATCTTTCAACGAGATACCAGAATTCACCAAAGTCTTTAAAAGACCAGTTAAATTGTTGCAAAATTCACGCACTGTCTATGTGGATGGATGGCTTCTTTTCCTCCCCCTCAAGCCAAGAGAAATGTTAAAAAGTTCATGGTGGACATGTGCATGAAGCAGGCTACAAAACCGAGAACTTGTTTCCTTCATGTATTTATAGCATAATCAAAACAGCATTGCAACACCATTTTCACTGGAGGTCTTCATATTTTTTCTTGCATTGAGACTAGAGCCATGGATTATTTCTTTGAAATGCTACATGTCTGATTGGTTGGTTGATTGATTGGATACATATTCAGTTTTTTTCTTCTGGTGCTTAAGGTCAACGTACATAGCTTATTCTCCACCCGTTTTTTTCCTCACCATTAGTGAGGTCTGGTAGGTTGCGCTAAGAGGCAGCCTTGAGTTGTTCACCTTTGGTCTGCAGTATCGACTTCTTTAAAAGCCTCCTGTTGAAGTATGGAGCCCTGATCCTCTGAGTCCTGTTACCTGCATGCAGCTGTCCTACCAACACTATGGTAGCTGAACATCAGGGCCATAACATAGTATAGTTGACAGTACAGCAGGGAAAAAAATAGCTCCTGCTAGCTGCTTCTAGGTTGTTTTACTCCCACCCACAAACACACACACGCCCTTCTCTCCCACATCCAACTGTTTCACAGCAAAACTTTTATAGGCAACTTTGCGTGCTGATGCTTGTGAGAGGACTCATCCTTGAGGCATGATTTAAGCCATCTTATCTTACCCTTTTCTGTGTGCACAACAGCAGCAAATAGAAGAAAACAGCCATGAAGACCAGCAAACAGCATCATACCATCGGAGGTAACGTGCTGGGTTCCACTAAGGATTGCTAGTTAAGAAAGACTGTTAGATATTTAGATAGCCTTTGGAAAAGAGGACCAGGTACATTCCTTTGCATTGAAGGAACTCACCAGTTGAGATCTATGCCAAGAATAATCAATGTCCAATAAATCACTGTGGCACTTAGTCCAAGGGAGAATGAAGTCATCAGGTAGAAACGGAATCCTCTTTCCAGGGGGATCCAGGATTGAAGTAGCCAACCTAGACTAATCCCTGAAGAGAGATAGTAGAGAAGGGAAGCTTCATTATAAACTGCCACATCTATTGGATGTTCTACAGTAGAGGCCAGCAGCCTATGGACAGCCAGGACAGCAATTTAGTGATATGGTTATTATCACCAGAAGAGTTGAACTGTATTTTTAATTTTATTGTTGTCTTTCCTGTTTGGATTTTGGGAGGATTTTAAGGTTAAAAACTAGAGGTCCCTGCCAAACAAACCATTCTGATCTTCACTGTTCAACCCAGTTTATTATTAAAATTAAAAGCTTAGAAACTTGTGTGATGAAAGTTCCTTCTTCATTATCTCAAGCATCTTTTAATACACTGCTCAAAAAAATAAAGGGAACACTTAAACAACACAATGCAAGTCAATCACACTTCTGTGAAATCAAACTGTCCACTTAGGTAGCAACACTGACTGACAATCAATTTCACATGCTGTTGTGCAAATGGAATAGACAACAGGTGGAAAGCATAGGCAGTTAGCAAGACATCCCCAATAAAGGAGTGGTTCTGCAGGTGGTGACCACAGACCACTTCTCAGTTCCTATGCTTTCTGGCTGATGGTTTGGTCACTTTTGAATGCTGGCGGTGCTTTCACTCTAGTGGTAGCGTGAGATGGTCTACAACCCACACAAGTGACTCAGATAGTGCAGCTCATCCAGGATGGCACATCAATGTGAGCTGTGGCAAGAAGGTTTGCTGGGTCTGTCAGTGTAGTGTCCAGAGCATGGAGGCGCTACTAGGAGACAGGCCAGTACATCAGGAGACGTAGAGGAGGCCGTAGGAGGGCAACAACCCAGCATCAGGACTCCTACCCCTGCCTTTATGCAAGGAGGGACAGGAGTACTGCCAGAGCCCTGAAAAATGACCTCCAGCAGGCCACAAATGTGCTGCTCAAACAGTCAGAAACAGACTCCATGAGAGCCCGACGTCTACAGGTGGAGGTTATGCTTACAGCCCAGCACCGTGCAGGACGTTTGGCATTTGCCAGAGAACACCAAGATTGGCAAATTCACTACTGGCGCCCTGTGTTCTTCACAGATGAAAACAGGTTCACATTGAGCACATGTGACAGACATGACAGGGTCTGGAGACGCCATGGAGAACGTTCTGCTGCCTGCAACATCCTCCAGCATGACCAGTTTGGCAGTGGGTCAGTAATGGTGTGGGGTGGCATTTCTTTAGGGGGCCGCACAGCCCTCCATGTGCTTGCCAGAGGTAGCCTGACTGCCATTAGGTACCGAGATGAGATCCTCAGACCCCTTGTGAGACCATATGCTGGTGCAGTTGGCCCTGGGTTCCTCCTAATGCACGACAATGCTAGACCTCATGTGGCTGGAGTGTGTCAGCAGTTCCTGCAAGACAAAGGCATTGATGCTATGGACTGGCCCGCCCCTTCCCCAGACCTGAATCCAATTGAGCACAGCTGGGACATCATGTCTCGCTCCATCCACCAACACCATGTTGCACCACAGACTGTCCAGGAGTTGGGGGATGCTTTAGCCCAGGTATGGGAGAAGATCCCTCAAGAGACCATCCGCCACCTCTTCAGGAGCATGCCCAGGCATTGTAGGGAGGTCATACAAGCACGTAGAGGCCACACACACTACTGAGCTTCATTTTGACTTGTTTTAAGGACATTACATCAAAGTTGGATCTGCCTGTAGTGTTTTTTTCCACTTTAATTTTGAGTGTAACTCCAAATCCAGACCTCCGTGGGTTGCTAAATTTGATTTCCATTGATAATTTTTGTGTGATTTTGTTGTCAGCACATTCAACTATGTAATGAACAAAGTATTTAATAAGAATATTTCACTCATTCAGATCTAGGATGTCTTATTTTTGTGTTCCCTTTATTTTTTTGAGCAGTGTATATTCTTTCTCAAACTAATATAAGCTGGGATAAAGAATATTATGTCTGTTATGATAAATTAATGGTATATGAGGAAATATTAAATGATCTATTATAAATCATTCAAGGATTTAACTAAGAGATCCAGATGTGGCCACTTTTAATTTAAGGGATATCTAATTTGTTCACCAAGTTCTTCATCTCATAAACCATTCTTCAACCAGCTTTCCACTATAGTCCTGTGACCATGTAATTAGAAATAAGTATGTTTTGGGGCTAGGGCAGCAGGAAAGACATTTTTTAAGAAGAAGAAGAAGCTGGCAATATTTTTGATCTGATAGTTTTCTGAGTACTCTGTCATCAATAGTTATTTAAGATCAGTTAGAGCTGAAGGGTGTAGAAGAAATGGATATGGCACTCTGATCCATTAATCTAATCACCTGTGGATTTGATACCACTTGGCTATGAAAGTTGCCAGGAAGGAGAAGATTCAGGCTAAGGTGAATGCATCTTTGATGAAGGGATATTTGCATCCTGCCTTGAATGCAGCAGAGTTAATGTCCCAGCCTTAATAAGTCATTGCTTAATTTGGTTATTTTAGATAACTATCGTCCAGCCCCCAACCATTCTTTGGGGAACAATGCTCTAGAGAAAGTAATTGGCTAGAAGTTACAGAGAATACTGAAGGAAATGGATTATATGGATCAATCAGAATAGAGGCTTGGATACAGGAGAGAAACTATAGTGATGGTCCTATTAGATTATCTATGGAAAGTGGTTTTGGTAGAAATATTTTCAATGAAATGTGCATTTATCAATCTTGAAAGCAAATTTCCAAAAGGGTCTTTAAAAAACCACGCTGATATCTTTTAGCTCACCAAATGTATGGCCATGCTGTATTGCTATACACATGCAAACCAGGAACCTAGAATGTGTGCAGATAGCATATTGCTAACTTTCATGATGTACTTACCTGCCAAAATGCCACCAATAACTTGATGGGGGAAATGAGCAAGTATGAAGATGCGTGATAGTCCAATAAACAGCAAGAGGAGGAAATAAACAGTAAAGGGCACTGCCCTCATGATCCAACTATTGAGGTAAAACAGGAGAAGAAAAATGTCACACCAAAGAACTCAGCAAACGGGTTGAGAATTATCTCTTTTGCCTCTCCCAAGGCCTCCCCCAAAGCCAACAGCCTTAGAAGTATCAGATCCCAAATTACAATTTCTGTTCAAATTAAGGAAAAACAGGATAAAGTATTTTTTTTACATATATGAGCAACAGAGGTACATAGCTAAGGTTTGCTCTGCACATGGAAATTCCAGTTCATTGATTTAGAAATACGTTAAAATGAATCAGGCATTTCTGCTGCCTTCTTTACTGGTAATAAGTTAGTAGAACCTTGATGGGAGCGTGTTCACAATTGCCTCAGCTGAATCCAGAGGATCCAGAAGCTGAGATTCTCCCTCCTTGTCTGCAAGCACTCACTCCTGGATTGTTCCTACATTAGAGGACTAGTGAGGTCAGCTCTACCAACTTAATGAAAAGAATTATAGGAATGGTTCAAACAAGAGCACCTTGTTGTTTATCATTCTTCAAATGCAGGGGTTCCTATCTATTTGAAAGCCAAGTTTTTTATTCCAGTTGGAGCCACGGTGGTGCAGTGGTTAGAGTGCAGTACTGTAGGCTGCTTCTGCTGACTGACTGCAATTTGGCAGTGTGATCCTGACCAGCTCAAGGTTGACTCAGCCTTCCATCCTTCTGAGGTGAGTAAACTGAGGACCCAGATTGTTGGGGTCAATATGCTGACTCTGTAAACTGCTTAGAGAGGGCCATGAAGTACTGTAAAGCGGCATATAAATCTAAATGCTATTGTTATTATATCCAATCCTGACAACCTTGTTTCCAAAAAGTAGTATCACAGTTCAAAAAAATTACAGAATCTGCAGCCAAAGCAATCAGGGACTGGGATAATTTCAACCCAGGAATATACAAAATATTTGCCCTTTTTGTTTTTCTGGGGCTAGGAGAAGCAGGCACAAATTATACTATAAAATATAATATAAAAATGTAATATGAACATATATCATAAAAAGCTATAACGAATGTGTATAGCTTTTGATATTGCCTGATAGTAGATAGAGGGATTTGGAAGGAAAGGAAACTGGGACTTTCCCTGCTGTACTGTCAACTATACAATGTTATGGCCCTGATGTTCAGCTACCATAGTGTTGGTAGGACAGCTGCATGCAGGTAACAGGACTCAGAGGATCAGGGCTCCATACTTCAACAGGAGGCTTTTAAAGAAGTCAGTGCTGCAGACCAAAGGTGGACAACTCAAGGCTCCATTGCTGCCACAGTGAACAGCAATCTTAAGACACAAAACATTCACAAACTCCAAGATAAAGTCCAAGATATGTAGCAGCTGTGATCTGACTGTGATCACAACACCTCATTGAATGAATTTAGGCTCAGTGGCTGCCTCTTAGCGCAACCTACCAGATCTCACTAATGGTGAGGAAAAAAAATGGGTTGAGAATAAGCTATGTACTTTGACCTTAAGCACCAGAAGAAAAAAACGAATATGTATCAAATCAATCAATCAATCAATTAATCAGACATGTAGCATTTCAAAGAAATAATCCATGGCTCCAGGCTCAATGCAAGAAAAAAAAAATCCAAATCTTTGCCTGGCCCATTTGTATGAGGTATCTCCGCCTATTTTACAAGATCATGGGGTATATGTGTTGGGGGGGGGGGCATGCTCAGTGTTGCTGGAAGCAAAAGAACATAGATCTGGATTTGTTGATAATTTTGGTACGATTTATCGTAGACAGAAAAGGGCCCCTGAAGCAATGACAGGAACTCCACAAAAAATAGGAAAAAAAACCTTTAGAAATTTGCATGAGTTTTAACAAAGTCAATTCTGATTTATGGAGAAAAGTTCCTATACTTTTTGTACTTCTTAGAGGAAGATTGAATACAGAGAGAGAGGGAGAGAGAAAGAGAGAGAGAAATGAAAAAATGATGGAAAGAGAGAGAATAGAGATAAAAAGAGAGAAACAAATGAGAGAGAGAGGGAGAGAGAAATGAGAGAGAGAGCTGGAGAGAGAGAATGAGAGAAAGAGGGAAAAGAAAGGGAAACAAATGAGAGAGAAAAGAGGAAAGAAAGAAAAAAGAAAGGCAGAAAAGGAGAAAAACAGAAATGAGAGGGAGTGAAAAAGAGAAAAACAAATGAGAGAAAAGGGGAGAAAGAGAAATGAGAAAAATGATGGAAGGAGAGTGAGAGAGGAAAAAATGAGAAAAGGAGAGAGAGGGAGAGAGCTGGAGGGAGAGAGCTGGAGGGAGAGAATGTGAGAGAGGGAAAAATGAGAGAGAAGGGGAAAGAAAGAAAAAGAAAGAGAAAGAGAAAGAAAGGAAGGAAGGAAGGAAGGAAGGAAGGAAGGAAGGAAGGAAGGAAGGAAGGAAGGAAGGGAGAGAGAGGGAGAGGGGAAAAAAGAGAAAAAAAGAAAGGAGAGGGGGGGAGGGAGGGAGAGGGAGAGACAGACCTATTTCCCACAGAAAACACCAGGAGCCACAAAACTTGGGTAGGTGTGGCAGGATGGGGGGTAATGTGATTGGGTGGGAGTTTTGTGGCTCCTGGTGTTTTCTTTTCTGTGGGAAATGGGTTCAAATGGCTCTTTGAGTGTTTAAGGTTGCAGACCCCCGGTCTCAATGATATTGCTATATACCTTTTGGAGTTCTGGGCTATCTGTCTGGCCAGAATGCTTACAATTGGCCACAGGGCTGCACCGGTGATCATACAGTGGCCAGAAGGACTGCCTGTAAAAAAGAAAAATAAATAAAATCCCTCTGGTTGCTAGTGATCATCTATGTAAAAGAGAAAAAAAAGAAACAAAAGGTAAATAATTATGTCACATAGTTATATACCTAATGGAGCCTCCTTAAGTTGGTCTGTTGAACAATCACTAAGTGATTGTTCATAAGTTGAAGACTACCTGTAAAGATAACAAGTAACTTCTGTTACCACATAAAGCAATTATCAATTGGTTAATTTGATTATTTTCTGGAAAAACTCAAAGAAGAATTAGAGGAAAAGCAAACAGAAGTGACAATGGCAGAGGTAACAAAATAAATGCCATAGCACAGTGGTCACCAACCAGTGGGTCGGGGACCACTGGTGGTCCACGAGAAAATTTTTATGGTCCACAGAAAAATGTCACCCCCAAAGCACCCCCCCCCCAAAGCAATTAATTCATGCTGCTTGGAAACACAAGGCTGCGCCGTCCACATGGTCCGCAGGAACACAAGGCTTGTGTCGCCTGCATTGCGAACAACACGAGGTAGTGAGGGGAGGGAGGAAAGGACGGAGGAGGGAACTTGTCACACTCGCCCCACGCGCCTCACCTGGCCACCGGGCTGCTTCTTTCCGCTTCTTTCTTCTTCTGCTTTTGGCTGCATGCAAGGAAAGCAGCAGAAGTCTTCCTTTCTCTCCCCCAAACTCTGCCAGAAATGAGTTTTGGGGACCCTGCAAGGCCTCCTGCTCCAAGAGGCTGCGCCGCCCAAGACTCAATTCTGGTGGAGTTTCGGGGAGAGAAAGGAAGACTTCTGCTGCTTTCTTTGCATGAAGCCAAAAGTCTCTCTCTCCCCCTGAGAACAGAGCTTGAGACAGTATCCTGCTATCCCAAATAAAAAATGATCGATTGGGTAGGAAAACAGGGTGGTGAATTTTCCTGCAGCCTTTTGGGGGGATTTTCCCAGGGTCTCTGGTCTGCAGGATTTAAAATTATGAGTTTGGTGGTCCCTGAAGTCCAAAAGTTTGACGACCCCTGCCATAGCAGATACAGGTGGACACTGAATATACTACCACAGTGGGCAATTACAAGCATTGGTTTTTCTAAAAACTTGCTGTAACTATGGATTATAAATGCTTATTATGGAATAAAAGTAGAGCAAATGCTTCTCAAAATAGAAAAAATTTCAGGCAGTCCTCAACTTACAACCAATGACAATTTGAAGGTATGATGGTCTCAGTTGCGCCACCCCTGCAATCACATGGTTGCAATTTGGGCACTTGGATACCAGCTTGGATTTACAACCCTTTGAAGCACCCTGTAGTCCCATGTTTGCGATTTGCGATTTATTTTTCCTGGTTTCCATAAAAAATGGCAAAAAACCCCAATCACCTCCACTGGGGAAGCTGGATTTGCTTGATGACTACATGATATGCTTAACAGCCACATGGCTTATTTAGCATCTGTGGTGATTCAGTAGATTAATCATAAAATCGGGTCTCATCATGTGATGATTTGCTTTATGACCCCTTAACTTATAACTAAAATTCCAGCCCCCATTCTGATCACAAATTGCGGGTTACCTGTGTACTTCATTATTTGGAAAAGTTCAAACAAGATGTGATTTCCTTAGAAGAAATAGATATTAGAAACCAATATGTTTTATTATAAATGAGAAAAAATGAAATTCTGATTTTGAGACTTACTGATTAAATACATTTCCTCTTATATGTACTTATATGTACTAGCTATTTCTATAAGTAAAAAGTTGAGGCTATTTTATTATTTTTATTCTGCTGCACTGAAAAATGTTGGAAGTTAATGGGTTTTTTTCCTCTTCTTTTTTCCCCTTATCCCACACTTCTCTTTCCCTTTCTTTTCCCTTCCCCATTTCCCTTTATCTTTGTTCTCACTTGTATTTTATATTATGATACAATTTTAAATAAAAAAGAAAACGATATTAGGAAAAATATAAAATATTTGAATGACAAAAACTTGGGAGAATTTATTTCAGTAGGAATAAAAGAAACAGAGTTGCTTTGTATATAAACTCTCTCAACTATATCCAAAAATTAAATTGACTGAGGATTGTGGCAGATATGTTGGAATGAAAGTTACTTAGAGGGGGCTAAGACTTTGATACTGGGAATCTATGGTCCAAATGAAAACAAAATAGTACCATAAAGATCCTATAGGCAAATTATTGAAATTTCCATGTCAAAATTGGTATTTCTTGGGAAATTGGAATGAGGTGATTTAGACGATCAATATAAAATATGTCGCAAAATGAGTGCCATGGAAAAGTCTTGCCTATTCACATTATAACTGGCATGGTAGGCACAGCCAATCTGGAAACATTGATTGACCCACAGGGAAAAATTAAAAGCAATGACACCATTCAAGAACCTTACAGGACAATATTTCAAGAGTGTGGGAAGAGGGTAACATTGACTTTCAACACTTATTTTCTTCAATTCCTATTTTTCATTGGACTGGATTACCAACCTGGTCCTGTTTCACAACTGGATGGGAACTGACGGAGAAAAATCTCCTTTTTCTTGGAAAATCCAGATTCAGAGATCCACCAGAAGGGCCGTTCGCCAAATAATAACCTTGGGAATAGGAGGAAGAGGAAATATATATAATTAAGAGCTGGGAAGAATAAAATCAACACTTCCAAAATGCTAGGAAATTTAAATTTACTTGCCATCTTATCTACATAGTTTACAATTGACAACTACTCTTTTTCTAGTTATATTAATTCATTTCATTTATATATGTTCTTTCTTCTAAGAACTCGAGGTAATATATATTAGATAGCATTCCCTCATCCAATTTTGCTACAACATTCCAATGAGGAATATTGGACAGAAAGAATGTGACTGGCCTACAGTGATTAAGAGACCTTTCAGGACTGAAGGTGAATTAGAACACCAGTTTCCTCAGTTCTAGAAAATACCTCAAGCTCTGCACCATTCTGACTCAATATTCATTTTTATCAGTGTAAGATCACGATTCTAATTTGTATCTTACAGCAGAAGGGTTGCAAGCTTGTCACTTTTATGAAGTCAAAGGTATCTGCAGCTGGACACTGTTTTGTTAATTTTTTCTGGACTTATCAGAGAGAATCAGGTCTCAAACCTATAACTAACAGATAACGTAAGAAACAAAGAGGACAACAGTTTCCAATTAAATTAAAGTCTCCTTCACTTGCTAAAGCAGAAGAGCTTTATTTAAAATATTGGAAGGTACACATAGAGCTTTTCATGGGCCAATGAAATACACAAAGTGCAGGCAAAGGATGACTGGCAGATATAACACAGGCAGTGTATCCTATACTGCTCTTCAATCCATCTGCAATTCTCTTCTAATGTATGGGTAGGGTCAACTCAACCTCTTCTTCCAAGAAAGCCTACTCATGTATAGAAGCAGTCCTTGACTGACAACCATTTAGTGACCGTTCAAAGTTACAACACTGAAAAAAATGACTTGCAAGCATTTTTCACTTTTACGACCGTTGCAGCATCGCCATGATCATGTGATCAAAATTCAGATGTTTGGTAGCTGATTCATACTTATGATTATTGTTGTGGCCCAAGGTCGTGGGATCCCCTTCTGCAACCTTTTGACAAGCAAAATCAATGGGGAAGCCAGATTCACTTAACAATCATGATACTAACTTATTAACTGCAGTGATTCACTTAACAATAATGGTAACAAAGGTTGTAAAATGAGGAAAAACTCACTTAACAAATGTCTCACTTAACAACAGAAATCTGGGGCTCAATTCTGGTTGTAGGTTGAGGACTGCCTGTATATACAAACCTGCATTCCAAATTCTAAAGACTGCTATAGTACTATAAGTAATCCTCCTCTTGTTCTTAATGAGGCAATTCTATAATTCTACATACTGGACATTTGTTCCATTAATGAATAGTTCCAAATTTGTTATAGGCATTGATATTAATTCCTCTGAAAGCCAAACATATTTTTCTGCTCTACAAAATTCTATTAAACTTCAGTAAATGAACACTAATGGACTGTTGGTTAATAACAAATAAAAGCACTACTGGCTACAATTCAAGTCATCCTATCCAAACACAATGCAGCATGGGTTGAAAGTGGAAATTCAGAGAATGACACTGAGTGAATTATTTTTTCTGAGTCCAAGCTATTACAAGATTCCTCATATAATGAGCTTCCAAAGAGAAGGCAGGATATAAGTCTAACAAATAAATTAAATATTTCAATTCCTTTCATGATTGCTTTTCTGCTTCTCCCCACCACGCAGAATTACTGAATAGGTTCTTTCATCTTGGGGTTGTTTAAGTAATTACTTTAATTAAAAGTCAGTTCTCTTATATATTTGATGTTTGCTATGTGAATGCCATTTCAGCTAGAAAAGCTTTCAATTATAAACTATGAAAAGGAGTTCTTCCTCTGTATAAATTGGAGGTACCTCTATAAAATGTTCTTGATGCAGAACAAAGTTTATGTTCTGTGTTTATTTCCTGGATGTTGGCTCTTCCTTCTGTGTCACAAAAGCTGAATCTATAGTTCTCCATCTTACAATAGCACAAAAGTTACTGTCTTACTGTAGAATCTGAACTTCCAAATAATACTGCTCTTGTTCCTATGGGTTCTTTCTGGATGCCAAAAATCGAATGGCTAGGTTTCAAACATTCCATACAGTTCATAGGAACAAATCCAGTCTAATTCTGGAGTATTTTTTTACCCTTGCTTTTTCCTCACCATTTAGACATCAAGTTCAGCCATTCTGAGATTAGGCCCAACCACAGCACTGTCAGTCCAATCTTCTTATCCAACAGGAAGTACGCAAGAGGGAAATAAATTATGAAGACACATTTGGGATCACCGAAAAAGGTTACCCAAAGCCAAAAATCTTCCAGTCCAGGCAGAGCACTCTGAAGCATTTCAGCAAATTGGACACCGCTAGTGTAAAAGATATCCATGGTGGTGAAACTGAAACAGATGAGAAGAAATAAAATGTGTTTCCGACAAACTCTTGCAGAGCCAATGCCTTTGCAATGTAGAAATCAAGCAATGAAGCTGTTCAGAAGATAGTTAAACCATTTCCATAACAATAAGAAGCACATGATGAAACAAGCTCTGCTTGTAAGCCAATCTGGCCACCTTTTACATGTGTGAACTTCAGATTTCTCAGCAATAGCCATTTCAGAGGCCATCACTGAAGTTGGGAAAGGACCTTGTAAGTCAATGACAAACACCAGTGGCCGTTTTGTATCAAAACACCATGCTGGGAACCTTTCTCCTGCATCCTAGTGCCACAAATAGATACAAGCAAAGCCATACCTAGTCATAAACCTAAACATCTCATTCACCATGCATGCATACCCTATTAATAAACACCCATTACCCTTTATTGTTCATGTACTGCCATTTAAATCTTCCCTCCTATTATCTCTCCCCATTTCTTTCTTCGTTTTTCACAGACCTTGATATAAAATGGGCAGCTAATATAAATGAATGAAATTAACAAATAAAATAAAAGTATAAGCAGAGAGTTAGGAAAGGTGATGTAGGGCAGAAGTATGCATTTAATAATCCCTTATTATTTCACATGTTTCCAATGGGATTTGCTGGCATTATAGGACTACCTGTAGGGTAAAAAATGTCAAGATGGCAGCTGTGACAGTAGGACCCAGTATGACCAAAGCTGCTATCTTGACTTTTTTTTTATTATTCTCTGTATTGCTTTGTTTTCATCATAGAGTTCCAAAATTAATTCAAAAAAATCCCAAAGTAATGATACAAGCTTGTAGGAAAACTTGGACAAATATGAACTAAATCACAGAAACATGCATAAACCACACAAATAAGAGGGAAACAGAACTATATATCATGATGCAGAAATAAATAATACCAGTAGTTTACAGGATGGGTAAAAAGGCTTGATTTAAATCAACTCAATTTTAATCATAATTTTTAAAGAGCAGTTGTCATCTCTGTCCCTCAGTGGCTCCTCCTCTGACCTGCTGTTGACTCACTGATGGTCCCATTCACTTTAATGGGATGGCTGGTGATGCGACACAACAAAGTGAGGGACTTGGAGTGCAGCAGGTAAGTGGATGCCCGCTAACAGGCACTGCCATGATGGATCTGAAATGACAGGTGCTCTTTAAATGCAAGGACTCATTCTTGCTGATAGTTAGAATCTTTAATATTATTTGCAAACAAAATGAAGCTTTCCTATTTAGCTTGCAGAACTTAGATTCATTGAATGAGTGCCAAAAATGTAAATATTACAGAATATACAACCACAAGCTATATACCGTATTTCCCCATGTATAAGCCACCCCTTTTTTCCAAAATTTTCAAGCCCAAAAAGTAGGGGGGGGGGGCATATACAAAGCAGGTACACTTTTTATACGTGAAAAATGCATAAAATAATAAAGTAGGAATAAACTGGTTTTCCAGCAGAATGCTATACTTTTTTGTAAAAATTGTACGTGATGATACGATTACGAGTGCGAGTACGCGATAGAAATGCATACGCTAGGCATCGGCCTGAATGCTTCGTTCCTACTCTCGTTCTGATGCGTAGATTGCTAGCGTCGCCCGCACCGCTTTCGGCGTCATGACCGAAGTTGTAGATCTAGACGTCGAATTTTGTTTCTTTGTAAATTTTCTTTCTTCATAACTTGTTTCTCTAATAAAATATTTTTTTCAAAACTTCACAGTCCAAAAATTGGGGGGGGGGTGGCTTATACAAAGGGGGTGCTTATACATGGGGAAATACGGTAACTAAACTCCATTTCATGCTGAATAAACTAAATTATTAATGTATCTTAAATAGAAAACTATCTTTAAATAGATTTTTTACTCCAAAAGCATTTTATTAAAATAAATTTGATAAAAATAAAAAAGTCGATTTAAATTTTTAAAATCCATTTTTTAATTAAAAATAATAATCAATTTTTATGCACCCTGGTAGTTTAACATAGCTGGAGTCTAAATTAATTATAATGTTTAAAATAATTTTAAAAACACTTGCATTCTCCTTTCCCTCCTGAAGATGTCCAAAGTGGTTAACTATAAGAACAAATGTACCTTTTGTTTTTAGTTTTTTAAAATCCAATCAACTGAAATATAAAATAATTATAAGGAATCCACATATAAAACATCTTGCAGCAATCAGGAATCTTAAAAGCAGCAAATAGCAATGAGAGAAATAAAACCATCCCAGTGAAAGATGGGCATAGAAAAATCCAGTTTATTAAATGCTATGGAGGAGATAATTTCAGTTAGAATACAAAGTATTTCTAGAGGGAGGCCAAGAAGGAAATTCCATTCTAAATTTGAGTCTGGAAACCATACAGTGGTATTTTCTAATTTGGTAGCATGTAAATGTGTAAATATCCATTATACCCAGCTACTATGGATTTATGGAAGTTGGAAGAAGTATCCGTCTAGTAAGCCCCAGGCTGAGATAGGCTGCGTTAGAAATGAAAACGAGTATCTTGAAATATACCTTGTTTATTAAAGGGAGTCCTAGAAAAATATATTTCAAATAGCTAGTTCCAGACAATTTATTTGTCATATGTTCAATATATTACAGCACTAATAGTATCAATAATAATAGGTGACTTGGTGCAATCCAAAAACAACAGGAGTATCACTTGGAACATTATTAGCACTGACAAATTCACCATCAGTCAATTACAAATGGCAGCTAAACTTGTGGAAACAATTTACATCCTGTGATGACATCAACATCAATATCTGCTGTGCTATCCCAAGTCCTTGGTAATGACTCAACTGGTGGACAAAATTGCCAAACCCAGTCTGAATATCAGGCTGACTATGCAATGAAGCACAATAAACATTATTTCAATTCAATTCATTTTATTGGATTTATATGACTCTTCATTGTTAAAACAACTCAACTGTCCAGGTAATACAAAATTAAAAGAATCATAGCATGCTAATGGATTCACAAAACTCCTACAACTCAAAGCTCCTCAAACAGCCAGGTTATTATGGCCTACCTAAAGGCCATGCAGATCTTGGAGGAAAAACTATTAAAAGTGGTATCTTCTGAAATAATCCCCCCTGCCCCCCACGACAAGGAAAGGACTGAAAACTTGGTTTTATTTCCACCCAGGTCTGAGGTTGATGTATTATTATTTGGGTAGAACTCCTGTTTTATTTGATTTGTGTTGTACATAAGACTGTTTTAGTCTGGACTGTTCATTTGGTTTGATGCTTTATTTGTTTTCAAGGATTTTCCAGTTTTGTACACTGCCCAGAGTCACTTATTATAAAAAGTAATAATAGCTTTTCGAGGGAGATGGAAGGGTGGCAGAGGATATGCTTTATTTCAATAAGATGCATGCTGATCTGTATGGATGTTATAAGATGGGCCATAGATACTGTAGGAATAGAGATAGCTTTGAACAGATATATTTTTCCACTGAAGGGAAGATTTCCAATAGGAGAATCCTCAGAAATATATCTTCATCCTATTTGATTCACCTAGGAAAGAATGCTCTATGTCACGGGTGCCAAACACGCAGCATCATGTTGTTGTCATATGATATATCACAACTTTTTCCCCCTTTGCTAAACCGGGGTGGGTGTGGCCAACACATGAAGCATCCAGCTGGTGGGCCACGAGTTGACACCCCTGCTCTATGTCTTCTGTCCTTGACAGATCATGGAAGAGCAGACCTAGAAACAGATATTTTCAGCCCTGTGGAATACGTAACACCATTAAATCCATATTATCCCCTACACAACATTTTGTTGGGCAAGAAAGCATGGTGTAAAGTGAGCATTTAGAGATCATGAGTCCTGGCAGATTTTGCTTAATCCTCATAAATTTTTAGCTGTGGCTCCACAAACATTTTTTTTTTCTAGAATAGAGTTCTTCTGTCATTGAACAAGCTAAAGACTTCCACAACCCAATCATTTCATAGTATTTTATGGCATCCAAAAATCTAGAGATTTCAAAGCTGGAGAATTAGCAGGAGGGAACAGCTTTGTTTTGTTCTGTTTACAGATCTTCCTTTAGGCAAGTGTTTCTTAAACTTTACAACTTTAAAATGCATAGATTTCTACTCCCAGAATTCTCCAGATATTTGAAGTCCAGCATCTTAAAATTGCCAAGATTGAGAAACACCACATTAGGGCAACCAAGATGCCCCAAACCAAGCTCAAATTACCATCTGCCATCTTCTATATCTATTACAATCAATTATCCTAGTTCTTACTATCCTCAATGATGGCTTCAGAATGAAGTTCAGTAAACTCACAACTCACAATCACTCACCGTGATATTCCCAAATAATTTCAGTTTTGAGAAGATGGGGGAAAACACAGAATGGTATACCTAAAATTTCACAGTTCAAGGACAACTGTCACACTAGGAACTTCCTGATTCTTCTAGTGCTTTCAGTAATGATTTCCGGTATCCAGAAGCCCTGATCTGGCAAACCTGTCTGCATTAGCCCCTCTTCTCTCCAAACTACTTCCAGAATTTCTGGGAAGAGATTTCTTGAGGACAAAGCAACGTAATCCCTTAAGACACGCATAGGCTAAATTTAACATTCTTCATTACAAATACAAAACACGACGCTCGAAAATGTTCATGTGCTGACTGAAGGTATATTGTATTACCCTCTCCCATCCTCCCCAGGGCACAACATATACTAAATAAAGTTTTAAAACTGTATTTTAAGCATTATATTAGAAATATTAATCAACTATTCTTTTTAGCTCTTTCTGTATTTTCCATAATCGATTTCCCTCTTTCTTTGCGATGTTGTCCGCTTTCATCATTGCTCTTTCGGTTCAATTACTCGTCATCTCCCCGTTACCTGCAATTGCCGGCTTCTGATTGTTCGCGCCATTGAATGACCAAACTACATTTCCCAGAAGTCTTAAAAGATACGGACTCATCAGTATCCGGCTTGAATACAGGGTGAACAAAGGGACATTCACCAAGATTTGCGTAATCTTTCAAGTTACAATTTTCACTAGATAGGTATTTATTACACACTTAACTAGCTTTACAGTTTTATGGGTTAGATTTATTTCTGTGTACGACACGTGGCATGAAACTGTTTGCTACCATATGATCTGATTTTTGCACTCCCAAGCTTTAATATAGACGAGTCTCAGAAAGCCACGACCTTAAAATATCACTCCACATTAATCAATTGGATTGAATTGCTTGTTAGGATGTAATTTTTAATGATAATTATAAATTATTATTTTGATGAACAAGGAGATCAAGCACATATATCTGAACACAGGCATGCACAGAAGCAGTTTCATATTTAAACTATTAAAAATTATAGCATGAACCACTTGGCACCAATCATATTTTAATTAAAACATCCAAAGGCCTGTGGATCAAATATCAGATAAATGTTTTTCATATCAAAGTAAGATGGCTACAAACACAATTTTAGTTAACCCAATCACTTCTCTTTACTGCAGCTAATGAAAAAATATTTTTAAAAGCTTAAAGATGTTGAAAAAGTATTTTAACTGTAGTAACGAATTGCCACTTTGGCTTCCTGAAGCTTAAATATATGCTTTTATTTCCAACATAATCCAATATACAACATACCATTCTTGACTATGTAGTTACCAATACTATTGCCACATAAGGGTGCTTTAAATTCCATATCCATTCTACAATGATACAAATTAAACAAATACTATGCCGAGTTTTTGTTATCATCCCAAGATACAAACATTTTTGATGGCATATATTAAGGAGCAAAGCTTAGCCTTACTTTAACTCTTTATCTATTAACATATTGTAAAAGCAGCAGAACCAAATGTTCTTACCTAGTAAGTTTTGAACCTACAAGTGCAATTATTTTTACTGTTTTTATTTATAAGGTAAGAATTTCCTTTTTATGTGCTGTTTAAGGAAAGCTGTTTTTATTTCTAAACTTAATTTTGAAGATACCCTAAATTTTAAAAGAGATTTCATCTCTTCAAATTCATCCTATGTTAACAAGGAATTATTTGTTTTTGTTGAAAGTACTAGAATAGCCAAAAAAGGAGGTGGATCTGGTTGCCTGAATAAATAACAGCTGACAACTGCTAAGGTAGAAGACAACACTCTTATTATAAACCTAGAATAGGCAACTGCACAGAAAACAGTACTGAGGAATGTTATGCAACTGTATTTAGGAATAATTTGAATGTAGATATTTTAATATTGCATTCCAATATTCTAGCTATAAATATGCTTGAATTGCTTATGTAGTAATGCTAGTTAAAAAACACTTATCTGTGATAATAGCGTTGTGCAGCTTTATTATATTGACCTCATAAAATTCTAACCTATTTATTTTGCTTCTTCAATAGCTAATTTAAATAGCATTTCTAAGGACTTGTTTTAAGGAATATATATATCTGCTGGCCATTGTAAGACTTTAAATTATGTTCATCAGAGACACCTATGCAATTTCATGAACAATTTTAGTTGAATTCCTTTTCTTTTACCTTTGAAAGGCTGACCACCGATGCCAGCTTTGCACTCATTTTCTTTGATCAAGGAAGGAATATTTGGACTGCAAAAAACTGGCTAACAATTCACTAGCAGCAAACATAGAAATAGAATAGCAGGGTTATATAAGGGACCTTGAGGGTCTTTTAGTTCAATTTTTTGCTCAATAATGGGACTCTATACCATTCTGAACAAATGACTATCCAGTCTCTTCTTGAAAACCTCCAGTAACAGTTACACGAAACATATTAATCCTGTATAATATTGCCATCTACAGGTAGTTTTCAACATACAACCATTTCTTTAGTGACTGTTTGAAGTTATAACAGTGTGGAAAAAATGGTTACAATGGTCCTCCCACTTACAGCCATTGCAGTGTCCCTGTGGTTACACGATCCAAATTTGGGCCCTTGGCAACTGGAATGAATTTTTGATGGTACAGACTCCCTGGGTAATGTGGTCATCATTTGCAATCTTTCCAGCCTGACAAAGTCATTGAAGGGAAAGGAAGTTGCTTAATGACTGCATGTTTCACTTAATAATTGTGATGATTCACTAAATAACCATGGCAAAAAAGGTTATAAAATTGGGTGCAACTTAAATAATTAAGTAATTGTATTGTTAAGTAACAACTGCCTTGCTTAGCAAAGAAAGTTCCACTCCCAATTGTGATTATAAGTTGGGGACTCTCCACAGTGGTCCTCCAAATTGTTAGACATCAATATACAGGAGACTCACTTTCATGAACAGCCAGAAAGTCAGATTTAATTATGCTCCTAAATCTTATTTGTCCAAAATACTAATTCAATTTTCGGAAAAAGTGCAATCATTTATTATCCACATTTCTACCAATTCTGTACTTATTTTGTAATATGATTTTCTATTCTGTTTAGGACTACAAATACAATAGCAACCTATTTTATCCATATGTATTTCAGGATAAAATCTATTGAATTGCAACTGATCCAATTTAAAGTAAATGCCTGTCACTGTCACCGTTCCATTTAAATAAATTTCCCCCCAAACTAAGCAGGACTACTTGAATCAGACACATGACTGTCTCTTGCAGAAATGAATATGTTCTATTCACAATAGATTTATCTATTATAACTCCATTAATAGAATATTTTAAATATGGAACTTCCCGTTTGAACTTGTTTAATCCATCTATGGAACTCAGTAAAAGGCTTTGCAACAAAAGCATTTGAGTTGATTATACTTTCTAGACCAAAAATTTCTATAACATACTTTTTAATAAATTTCATTCTATTTCTTTGGACATTTGCAAGATGTCGGAAAATGCTGCTATAATAAATTACAGTATTCTTTCGAATATATAAACGACTGTCTGACAGAGGGCAGTTGGAAAATCGCAAGCGTTGAGCTAGCACTGCCAAAGTTACAGTGATGTACAGTTTAAAGGCATTGGAGATTCAGATCCACTTTTAGAGACCGGATCATTTGGAGCCAGGGACTATTTCGCAATCAAATACGTTTGCAGTCGTGAAATGTCGGGAAAAGAGCATGCTGTGGTCACCATCTTAAGCTCCTGGAGGATAAGCTATTAAACTAATGAACGGTCCTAACTTGTTCATCTGAATTAAATGGGAGTCCGATTTATTCGCCCCTAAACAGCATTGCATCCTTAGGGGCGATGCACTGACCGTCCTCCACCTTAGACTTTGCAGCCCACCGTAGGTAGTTTTACTGCCGGTTAAACTTAAATCTCGAACCGGCCATCTAGCCATTGAAATCCAGGCGCGCTTGCTCAGGAGCCTCTGCCTAACCAGTCCAATTTCTCTCGGTTCAGCGGATTTAGGATCGTAGCCGCGATATACAATCCCTCGTAGTTGGAGTCATTACTCCACGTGGTCTTTTATTGAGAACAATTTCAGTCAAAATGGAATCAGGCTTACTTCAGGGGAAATCTGCATAAAATACCAGCTCCAATTCCCAGCTCGACCCCCCCCCCACACACCCCCGAGGAGATTCGCCGGCTCAGGACCCGCCCCTTCCCTGGCGCTCCGCCCCCTTTTTAACCGGCCTCTGCTCCCTGTGGTGTTCTTTCCAAACGTTGGTTGGGGATGCTCGCACCGCCCTAAGAACGAACCGCCGAACAGCCAGCCAACCGCACCTCGCTTTGCTGGGTGACGTCATGTACGTGCGTGGGTGCGGGAGGGGCTGACGTACAGGCGGGGCGCCGTCGCCTTGGCCACTCGTCCTTTTTTTTTTTCCGCCTAGGCTGAGAGAAGCCAGGTGGCTAAAGGGCCGGGGAGACGAGCGCATCGGGCCCGGTTTGGCGCGCCGGGATCGATTTCGGCGCTCCCTTTCCCCGCGCCATTCTCTCTGCCACCTCAGCGAAGGTTGCAGAGGCGCAGCGGGGGCGCGAAGGGTGCCGCCGCTGCGGCCTGGGCCTGAAACAAGATGGCGGCCCCGAGCGAGTACTTCAGTGTGGGCAGCCAGGTGTCGTGCCGGACTTGCCAGGAGCAGCGGCTGCAAGGCGAGGTGGTGGCTTTTGATTACCCCAGCAAGATGTTGGCACTCAGTATCCTGACTGGAAAGGGAGGGGAGGGCTCCGGCAGGGCAAGGGGACGCCGTCACTGGGCCTGCGAGGGGAGCTGCATGGGAGAAAGAAGGGGACACGTGAGCTGGGCGAGCTCGATCCTCTTCAGCTGATGAGGGGAATGGGTTGAGAGGTGCTGTGACAGATTTGGAAAGGTTGGGGCTGTTTGCTGGACTGAGCAACATGGAAACATAGGAGCGTGGTTTGGGGGAGGGAACCTAATTTTGAAAGAGGAGACTCGACTGAAGGGCTATCTCGGTATTATTTGAGCCAAGTAGTTACTATTTGCATATGGTATCGAGACAAAGTTGAACCTGTACAGGAAGGAGGGTGAAGATGAGCCATT